AGGTTTAATCAGCATGGTGAAAAGGAGGATGAGCTTACCTGAACAGTTAAGGGTTGTCCTGATGAAGTGGGCATGTTTGCGTTATACTCAGCAGTGGCACAATAGAAATGGCCAAGCCAGTTAGGCTTATGCTTTGATGTTTACAGTGTGCCATGCCAAGTACAGATTTTGGTTCAAAATCTGTGTGACTGGGTAGCCTGCAGTTGTACTCAGGTTAATTAAGGCAAGCAAGGCATAGGTCTGAGTAGTGTTAATGCAACAAAGTGACTGACACAACTATATTGTCTTCTCTTAAGGCTGCTTTTGGTACTATCTTAAACCTTTGTTTCATACTGTTGCCTAATGCTGGTAAGCATGTTCAAACAATAGTCTTCTCATCCCTTTCCTGCTTATTTTCAGCAGTGTGCCAGTTGGTTGAGACAGAGTGAGGCAGATTAAGTGAAAAGTTGACCCAGAACCAGTGCAGCCATGATGGTAAATATGTTGTTGTTTTTCTCCTTTCAAGTCCTTTTTATCCCTGCCCATGGCAGAGGGTTTGGAGCTAGAGGATCTTTAAGGTCCCTTTCAGCTCCAGCCATTCTGTGGTTCAAAGTTTAAGAAATTGTTGGAGCATAGACAGGCAAACTCTTATACTTGTTGGGAGTATCTAAGAAGAGAATAAATGCATTGAAGAAAAAACTTCTAAAATTCAAACTAACTGTAAGGCTGTCTCCTTAATTTACACTTTTTTTCTTCAGCGTTCAAACAACCAGCAGTACTGCTGAAGCAGTAAGTTAGTAGTACTGGTTTGTGCATTTCTGGAGAAGTAGTGCAGGAATCCGGGATCAGTGTTGCAGGTTTTCATGTACCGGAGAGAACAGTAGAACTGATACAAAATTGTGTTATTTTAGTCTTATGTCTTGTTCTTGTTTGTAACCAGATCCAGAACTTTTGTACTGCAATCCTGCAGCAGCCTAAGCCTGTGTAATTTGGGGCAGAGATGATAGAGATGAGTCCTGGTTTCCCTGTCCCTAATGGTGTTCCCTGCTTCTTGGCCACGCTCGCCTTGGTGCTTGGCAGACCCTTTGAGCTGTTCCAGCATGTGGACTTGGCAGAAAAACTCCTTCCCTGCTTCCTCTGCCAGCTTCATTTGTCACTTCTTAAAGTGCATTTTCACTCTGAAATGGCTTGGTGGAAGGTTGACAGGTGAGGTGTTGGGAGCCAGCAGGGAGGGACTGTGCTGCCTAGGGTAGGGTGGCACTGCTTAGGCTGCTGCAGCACTGTTCCGAGACCTGATGGGATTGCATTTTTCATCCTTATTTTGGTCGTGAATGGTGACATGGGAGCATATATATGTACTCTTAAGCAAAATGCTTGGAACTGATAGTGTAAACCACTTTTAGTCCTGGCGTAAGTGAGCCATTTCTTAAAATGTTGTTTAAAAGTCACCTTGGGTATTTAGCAGATTTCTTTTAAACTTGACTAGTTCACAAATTAGTATTCTGGGCTACATCAGTTGTACTTGCTTCTCTGCCCTTCAACTGTCTGTCCTACAGAATTCATGGTGGTGGACAAAGTTTTTAGGCCTCTTTTCTTTGAGGACTATCTTTTTCAATTTTTAAATACGGGTTTCTGGGGAGGAGATGTTGCTGATTTACTTCTGTAGTAAGCTGTAAGATAACCAGAGCTCTGAGGACATACCTGGATTTTTTTCCGCCAGACATTTGGAGAGATATGGTAAGGAATGATGATGATGCTATTTAGTCTCTTACATGATGACTTTGCACTGCTCTGCCTTGAGCATTCACACTTTACAGTCTATCAATACAAAACTGTTGTTTCACTGGAAAAAGGAGAAAAATGTACCTTGCAATCTTGTTCTTAAGTGCAGTGTTATATTAAAAATGCTTGCGCTTGATCTGAATGCAGGATGTTTCAAATAGGGAATAAAATTAAATGGCATAGTGGCACATTACTAATAATTAATTGTGATCCAAACACCTTCATTGTTCCCAAATTGATGCTGGGGCTCTGCTGGTTGTGTCAGGCTGCTTGCCCCTGTGGTGAGGGTGGGGCTACAAAATCAGATTGGAATTTTTGGCAATGCCAACACTTGGAACAAGAGCTACTGTTGTGTGATGATGTATTTATGAATGTTTCTTACATCACACAAAAAAAGAGATGTTTACTTCAAGTGCACTAGGTCATACTTAGGGTATAGTAAGTTGTGTAAGTCACTGTTTTAAATGCAAGAGATGAATTACTGCAAGAGCAGCATTATTCAGTGCCTTGCAGTTGTGCACCCTGATTTAAAGAAAGTGCAACAAATGTTGCATTGGTTTCTATAAGCAAAGAAGAGATTTGAAGAGACCTCATTAGCTTTGCTGTGTGGTCAATTAAGCTGTATGGAACTGTTTTACAAATAGACCATGCCCCAGTCAATGCAGCATTAATACAGCTTGTTTAGTCTGTTCATGGCAGCTGGTTGCAGAGTTTTTTAACCTATCTTAAAAAAAAAAAAAAATTAAAAAAAGTTCATCGGGTAATGCTCTTTAGGACAGGCTGTACCATGCTGTTCCATGTGAAGAGTGATGCCACTGTAGATAGCTGTGCGTTGCTTTATTTCTCAGGTAAATCAGCTGAACGTATCACCATGTGTTCTCATGGTTAGTTTTTATGGTTTTATGTTTGAATACTTGGTTAGAGCTATTGTTATGGTGATGGAGCCACGTTAAAGTGGCTGAACTGTTACTGGACATGAGCTATCCCTGGAAAGCCAAAGTTAGTCCTATACCCGATCCAACTGGTTGATTTTCTTATTCTATTATTTTAAGGAAAGAACTGTTTCTTTTCCCTTTATCCATACTGTAGCCCCTCTCAGTATCTCATAACTCTGTTTTCTAGATTCTGGGATGGACTCAGCATCCTAACTGACTAGAGCAGACTTGTGGAACATCCTTCCCAGGGTATGCTGTAATATTTACGCTGCCAGTATCTTGTTCATTTGGATTACACTAGCGTTTTTTTCTCCGTGTAATCCTGCTGTATTGAATTCAGAAGCTGATTGTTCTGGTACTAGACAATGGTATTTAAACTAAAGTTTTCAAACAGAAGAATAGAGAAATATCAGAAAGCAATCTGTGTAAGGAGAGCAGTAATAGTGCCTTTCATTTGGATAAACTAATCTTTGCAGATTTGTACTGTATTGCCCGTGCCAACTCTTCTGAAAGTTGATTAAGCTAAACAGGCTTCCTATTTTGCTTTTACATGACATAATTGAGGAAGTGACGTTCTGTCCCATCCTGGAGCTCTGCTTCTGAACATGTGTACGCTTGTAATCCAGAAACAACAACCAAGACAACTTTGGTAAAGCAAACCAAATTCAGTACACTTGTTTACTTTTTCTGGCCTAGTAAGCCACTTGACTCACAAGGGATTGGCAAATCTGCTTGACATTTGGACCTGAAGGTCTAAGGATGAAAAACATGTTTGACCTTTGAAAGTATTATGGTCAATGTATTACGCTGACCTTCAGTTCATGTGTATGTTGGTTACTAAAATAGCCTTAGAGAAGGCTGTGTTTGGTGTTTGTGTATGTCAGGGCTTGGAATCTTTGTGCTGTTAGCCACACAATGGAAATGTGGTGACTTCTGTTTCCAGAATGGCTGGGTGGTAGCAAATAAGGTGATATTGCAAGCAGTGGAACATAACCAGCCCTAAAACCAAAACAAAACCCCTCATTTGTTGGATGATTGTTTAACTGGAATGCAAATGTTTATTCTAGTTAAGAAGGAATATTTTTAGTAAATTGCTTTAGGTTTATATAGGCTATTAAATAATCTTCAGGGCTCAAGAAGCACCTTTGAAGACTCATATTCTTTAACATGGGATGTGTAAAATTAGATCATTCTCTTTTCTTTGCTAGCAGAGTGTTTGGAATGGTTTGGAGGTGTGCTCTTTTTTTTAGCTGAATATATAATTGTGACAAACTGATAGTAGAGCCTTTCAACCAAGGTAGATATAGACATGATCTAATGAACTTGTTACTATACTTGATATTCTTAGTTGGTGGTACTTCATCCTTTTTTTAAACAAACCTGTTAATATTGCCTCATTCCCAAAAGGAATAGGTCTTGTCTTGAAGCCTGCCTCTTAAAGCAAAATCAAAAAGCCTCCTGTAACTGGTGGAGGGGGAAGGTATTTTGGTGTTAAATTTTTCCTATTTCTTATTACTGCCTGAAACAGCCATGCTAAAAAGAAGCATCAACTGATAGGATGCTTTTTCTTGCCTATTTGGTGTTGACTAAAGCACAGGCAGGTAAGCATTAGGCAGAGGCCAATTGTGGATGCCTAGTAATGCTCTTTAACATTTCTTTGCTTTACACTGAAGGAATTAAGCTGTCAAAATCAGAGGTCATCTTAGTGATGAATTGTAGGTGACCAAATGCTGTCCCAAAACAGCTGGTTACTTAGCAAGTCTCTATGTAGATTGTTTTACGTGGTTGTTTTTTTTAAAACTGATTGCAAATTGAAACTGGCTAAACTGTATATACGTAAGCCAACATAATGGGCATTCTTAATGCTTGTATGTTTATTTCTGTACTACTTTGTGGATAAATCAGACCTTAATATATTTATCTATATCTGAAGACATGGCTTCAAATGAAATTGCTAATAGTTTTTTTTCAAGTCTGTATTCATGTTAGATTCAATAGTCAAGTGCAAATTATAAAGGCAACTTTACTTCAGTGACATGAAACATCTTCCTTTGCCCCTCAAAAGTGAAGGGGGATATTTAAACTTGCTAATAACAATTTTCTTTCAGATGACAAAGCTGCTTTTGTACTTATTTTCAGAGTACAGGCGCACTGGACTGACACTTTTCACAGCAAACTGTTTCCTCCTTCAGTTCATGTGTCTTATTTCCTGCAAAGCAGCGCTTTTGTTCATGCAGTTGTTAACACTTTCTGTTCAATAGTTCAACAACATTAAATTATAAAATGTCTCTTTTGTCGTTGTAGGAAGAAATCTGCTTCATCTAATTCAATCCTAATTCAGTCCTGCTAATCTGCTAATACTGTAGATTGAAAGATTTTTGCTGTTGCCAGGATATCCTGTAATGGGCACGGAGCCTGAGAGAGTACAAATTCTGTTTTTTTAACTCTTTAAAAGCTTTTGTTTAACAGGTAAGAAACATTGCTATTAAACTTCATCTATAGCAGTATATTTAGCTTTTGCATCTATAAAGCCTTACCTTAAATTTTAAGTGGTTCCTGAGTGCTCTTAACTTTTTTTCATATCTATGATGTTCTCTAAAGGCATTCGTTTACCTGATTTCTGTAGGTTCACATTTGCCACCTTCCAAGCTGCTCTTCTTTTTGCAGTTTAGAGTTCGTGGCCATTCCTTCCCTTTTCTTGCAGCTTTTTTCTGACTACTTTCTAGCAGACTGTTTTTAACTTTGCCTTTTAATCCATCTTGCTGTTACAGTACCTTCTTTTCTCACTACTCCTTTTTCTCCTCTTCCCTTTGGCCTTAGAATGAGAATCAAGGGTTATCTAGACACACTGTTGTGGTTATTCTATTTGTTTTACAGGGAGCTTGTTTTAAAGTGTTTTGATTTTGTGCCAGGAAGTGTATCAGCTGCCCAGCCTCCAATTCTTTGAAGAGTTTCAAAGCAAATGTGTTCATGAACTGACATATTAGGTATGAATGACATTTAGCACTATAGGTTCCTGTGTCAGAGTATAATGCTGTCTTCTGCAACTGAATTCTTGGTATTAAACTACATTGTTCTGAGTATTATTTAGCTTTCTTGTTACAGTATTGCTGAACCCCTTCTTTTCAGTACATAACTTCATTTCCATTCTGAAGATAATCAGAAGAGTTCAAAATACCAAGAACTCACTGAATTCGTTGACATGACTATTTTAAATGTGTAAATGCTTGGCTGTTGAATAGTTTTCTAGTAACTCCACTTAATCTTTCCTATTTGAGAGGGGGAGATCAGTGTCTAATTTGCAATCATTGTAGGTGATTAATATTTATAGTGATTAACACTTTGGTTAACCAGTCTTGAGATCTTGTAGAAATTTGACAAGGATGCAGTTGTTGCTTGATATAAAATTGCTCTTGTAACTTCATTATGAGCTGCAGATTTCAACTGGGCTGTTATGACCTCATGAATTTTGAGGAATTGGTGACTTTGAGTCAACATGAACTAATTTGGGAGTTGTTTGTATACTTCAAGTCATAGAAACTGACTACTGGGACATTCAGCCATAATAGGTGTCTGTGTATATATGCACATGACGGATATAATACATATTATGTAAAAATTCATGTGTTTGCACTTCTGGTCTTAGACAAAAGTGCAGTTACTATAATAAATAAGGGAGAGTCGAATGACAAATAAGGGTTTGCCTGTCCCAATTCTTAGCTCCTCTGCAACCATAGCAGGACTCTTCTTCCCCTTAGGAAGTGAAGAGGAATTACTTCAGAAGAAGGGAGTGGAAGTCCTTACTTGTTAAGTAATTTCCCTCCTCATTAGGAGTTGGAGGCAGTTGTTTAAGAGAATGTTACAAACATTACTGCCTTGGTACTGTTTCCTAATATGTTTCTCTTCTGGTCAAGGAAAGACTAGATCACATTTCACACCAGTATGTAGTTACCTTCTGAAAGTATAGTTGTTAGCTGAGAAATATATATGCTCTAAGTGGGTGTGATGTCTGGAAATAATCATATCCATAGCATGATGTTAAATTGTAGAGAAGTCAATGAACTTGCTGAATTGTTTCTATTGTATTCCCAAACATAATTTGGTTACACAGGAGTTCTTGATAGTATTTGGAAGAAGCAGCCTTTTGTTTTGGTATGTAGGTGAAACTCTACCTGCCGAAGGTTCAAAACACTGAAATCTCACTAGGTTATTTACAAGGAATGCTCCCCCACAGTTCCTGGATCTTACAGCTTAATGATGGTAAGGTCTTACTAAGATGTTTCCCCTTACACTGTTTTTTGTATCATAATCCAGTACCTACATTCCTTAAAACTCTACTGTACTACTGCTTTTATTTTTGTTTGTTAGGTGTAATGAAGCTGAATATAGGATTTGTAACAGTAACTTGTATCTTTCTAGCTAACAATCTAATTAATTTTGAGTGTTTAATTGAAAATTTATGTAAAAATTGCTTATTGGGTAAGCCTGGTGTCTGTTGCATTATTCAAAATATTCAAAGTAAGGAATAGTCAGGGAGAGGTTTTTACACTTCTTACACATTTATCTTCTGCCAGTTCAAACACTATGTTTCATAAGTCCCCTTATTTGTGCCCTGAACTACTAATGCAGAAGAAGCAATGTGTGTGCCTGTGCATGAGAAGTATTCTTGCATTCATTGAGTGGAAAAAGTGTAGAATTCAGTTAAGGCATAACTGTATATTAGTGTAACTTACTATTATTTTATGGAAAATAACAGTTTTGGTCCAAGCTAGAATGCAGGTGTCCTGTGTTCTTAGTGTTGTGTTGTTTAAATTGCCCTTGATTCCAGACTTAATGCATATGTGCTAAGTTTTCCCATATAATAGGTCTGGAGATGTTTTATGCTATGAGGAATTGGCCTCCTGCAAACAAGGATCAGGCAGTTGTAGGCAGCAGGTTTACAATGGGTAATGGGTAAAACATTTGCTCTGGCCGAGTCAAATTGGCAATTTAAAATGTAGCTGCTAAAGTTATTCTCTGTCAATTTTGGTCACTGATATTTCTGCCTAGCTCTAAATTTTTTCAGGCACGTACTTATATTTAGCTTTGTTTTGAGCAGATAGTACACTTCCAGTGTCAAAAAAAGGACTTGATAAATGCTGTGGTATCTAATTAATGGCCCGGGCTTGGGGGAAAATAAGCTGGAAACTAATTGTACTTAACCAATTGATACAGAGTTGAACTGGCAGAAGGACATGGTTAGCATTTTAAAGAAACCACTTAATAACTCTTAAAGGTCTTAGAAATGTTGTTAAGTTCTTAGTTTTATCATTAAAAGATTTTCATGTTCCTCATTGCTTCCCCCAAGCATACTTGTATGTTTCCTTTTTAAAAGGCTGTAAATTGTTTGCACTGAAAAATCTTTATAAAAGCACTAAGAAATGTAAGACTTGGAGTGTTTTTGGGTGGCACCAAGGACTACTGTTGTAGCTGCTCTTCTTGTGTCCAGTGATTAAGTTGTCTTTTGCTAGTTGCTACCCAAGAGCTGTAAAAGCCTGTGTGGCTGAAATAGACTGTATAATTTAGTATATGTTCAATCATCAAAAAGTTTGTTGGTGCAAAAGTAACTGATTTGTTCATCTGTGCACTTGAATCCCATATGAAGAAAATATAAAGGTAAATGGAGAAAAATGAGCTACGTGCTGAATTTGGTGCTTGGTAGTTTGATTTTTATTACTTCCTGTGGAGCATTTTGTAGACTTAATACATTACAGAAGCTTCAGTTTAATGTCTGATATACTCCTAAGTTTTTCTTGCTTGTGTAATGAGATTGGGTGTTTTTGTAAAAATGTATGAAGTTCCTGCTGGAAGTTCTGTGTATGTGTTTCTAACGTCCAGCAGTCAAGTAAAACAGTAAAACAATACTTTTACCTAAAGCTTTACCCTAGTTTTATTTCTGTGCTAGTTTAGATGACCATCTCTACTTTGTAGCTACCAGACCTCTTCTGTTAGGTAGAAGCTACCAAGGTGGAATTAACTGCTGGTAAAGTATGTTTCTTACGTTTCTTGCCTAGGTAAGACAAACATGCTTAAGTCTTGAACTGAAATAAGCAGCTCTCTTAAATAGTTTTATTTACTGATGGGATTTAAAGTAAGAAGCATGTTTTGTTTGAAGGTTCAAGACAGGAGATGGTCTCAAATTATCCCTGTAGGCTCATTTGACTAGAATTTACATGTTCATCCTATAGATTGAAAACCTGAATGTCTATTCAGGAAAAATGTTTAACTGTTACATCCACTGGAAGCTGTGGAGAGAGTTGTTCATTTAATTGTAACCATTTTTTTTTTTCCATGGAGATGTCAACTAAGCATTTGGCCCTTAGAGACAACCACAGACCAGTTACTGTTTAACAAAATACATACAGTGTGGTTTTCTTCATCTGTACGAGAAAGAAGACAAAGCTTTTTTTTCTTGAGGTGAAATCACTTCTAAGCTTCATTTCTTTTGCTTAGCAAGCAGTTAAAATAGGAATTTCAGTTACCTGTATCTCAGAACAATGACAGTTTTTCTTCATTTTACCAAATTGCTTTCTTTCCTTACAGTTTTAAGTCAGGTGTTCACTATATGGAGTATTACTTCAGTATTCATTTAGAGAAGAATCTGTTAGAATATTAACTAAGGAAGGAAAACGTGTTTTTTTGTTTTTGTTTTTTTTTGACTGATACATATTCATTAGGAACTTCGATTGCCATAATGTATATCAAGTCAATGTAAACTGTCATGGGAAATCTTTCCGTGCATTTGAGGTCTGTTAGTCTTACTTGGTGGGAGCTTTCAAAGGTTATGGAAAGCTGACTAAATGTGAGTTGGGAGCCAAATATATGTAACATTTTTACCATGCAATTTTTCTTTGCAAGTCAGATAGCTTTTAGTATTATCCTACGTTACTTTGCTTCATGTAGTATCTAATCTTGATCATGGTTCATATTTGACAGTCTATTGCATCTTGTGTTAAATCTTGTGTTTTGAGATTTTGAGGCTCCTATTGGAGCTGGAGTTGGACATTGGGAGTAACACAACCCAGTTGACCTATGGAGCTGACCCTAAGTTAGCAGATAGTGAAATTTTGGGAGGAACATAGTAGGGATGTTGCCCACCTCTGATTTATGGGTATAAGCTTTAACTCTCTGCCTCTCTTAATGGGGTTGAAACTTGGAAATGTATGAAAATAATTCAGAACCTCAGAATTGGTAGGGTTTGGGAGAGAGGGGGGAGAAACAGTCTATGGGAAGAACAACTTTTTAAAACTTCGATTCAAAACTGTGGTAGGTTGATTCTAGATTATCATCGGTGATAACGCCTACGAAAATTCTCTTCTCTTCAGGGTTCCTGGACTTCCTCTTTGGCACATTTTATGGTGTTTATTTTTCCTTATTCCAAAGGACCTGGGCTCCTGTTGAAAAGTGATGGAGTAATCTCTGGCCGGCACCTGACATGTTGAGGGAGCACCCCCTAAAAGAGCTTGCCTGGGAGACAATTTGCGAAATTACGCAGTAACATGTTTGCAGTAGTATGCCTCTTTTTTTGTTGTTGTTGCTATTTTCCATTGTTAAATTTCTCTTGAAACAAGTAATTGAGAAATAGATTGAAGCTACTGAAGTGAGTTTTAGTCAATGCAGAGGGATTTAGATCTGGAATGAGCATCTTTGCAAGTAACCACTCTGTGCTACTTGTATTAAATGGGATGTGGGGGAGGTATTTGTACTTACTGGAGCTGTAGGGGGAAAAACAAACAAATATTCTGTGACTCTTAATAATGCAGTAGTCTTACTTGCTCACAGTGAGTCTGTGTGTATCCCAAATAACCATAAGCCAATGTTCTTGATAACATTATGTAATTTGATTTAAGATAGTGTGAAATCAAGTATTTTCAAATCTGCTTGTAAGTTCACTAATAATTCTAGCAGAAAAGATTCTTTTGTTTTTTAACCACTTAATCCTTGCATGGGCTCTCAGATGATTGTAAGTACTGATGCTGCAGTTGAAGTTAGCTGTACCTTTTCTTCAATGATTTCTGGTTGATTCCTGTATCTTTAAACAGAAAGCTATGTAATCGAGGGGCAATTATGTATGCTTACAGCATCTGACAAAAAACCTTTTGACAAAAGCAAAATAAGGTGGTTCTAAGTGAACAGCATGCGATAATTAAGGCAACAAGGAGAACCCTAAAAGCAATTACAATTTCTCTGTAGAGAGTATACCAGACTTACTCTAATTTTTAAGCCAAACACTGAAAGTCTTCTAATGAAGAGAATCATAAGAGTTTTGCTGGATCCTTGGATTTATCTCTGTTATCTTAACCATTAAAGGGCTAAATTTGATGCTTCCCTATTCTATGTAGCTGTAGTAGGCATGCTGAATCCACTTGAACTTAAATAAATGCTTAATGCTGTCCTAGTAGAACAGTTCAGTTGGAAGGGACCTTCCAAGGTCATCTAGATGAACTGCCTGAGCACTTCAGGACTAATCAAAAGTTGAAACAGTAATGAAGGTATTGAGGGCCTTATACAAATACCTCAATCACTGACAGGTGAGGGGCTTCAAACGCTCTAGGAAGCCTGTTCCAGTATTTCACCACCCTCATGGTAAAGAAGTTTTTCCTAATGTCCAAGCTGAACTTCCACCAGTGCAGCTTTGTACTGTTCCTTCATGTTCACTGGTTATTAGGGAGAAGAGGTTGCCTCTTAGGCTTTTCTCCAAACTAGCCAACTCAAGTGTCCTCAGCCTCTCCTCACAGGACACACCTTACAGCCTATTACTAGATCAACTGCTCTCCTCTGGATACTTTCAGGGACCTTTTTATCCTTTTTATACTATGGAGCCGAGAACTGCACACAATCTTCAAGGTGGGGTTGCACCAATGCTAAATACAGAGGGAGAATCACCTCCTGACTGGCTGTTTATGCTGGGTTTAATGCATACTAAAATGCCATTTGCCCTTTGGCTGCCAGGCACGCTGCTGGCTCATGTTGAGCCTGTTGCTGACCAGCACCTCCAGATCCCTTCCTGCTGAGCTGCCCTGCAGCCGCTCGTCTCCCAGTCTCTACCCATGTTTGGCCTTACTCTGTCCCAGGTGCAGCACCTGGCAATTTCTTTTGTTGAATTATTTGCCACTGACAATTGCCCAGTGCTCCCTTTGCAAGGCCTCTCTTCCTTCCAGGGAGTCAACAGCACCTGCCAGTTTATTACCACCAGCAACCTTGCTGCAGACACATTGCAGTCCTGCATCCAGATTGTTGACAAAAATGTCATGTCTGGCCCTAGAATTGAGCCCTGGGGAATACTGCTAGTGACCAGCTGCCAGCCAGTTATGGTCCGATTCACTACGACCCGTTGAGCTCTGCTGTCAAGCCATTTCAACACCCAGCATAGCATGAACCTATTTGTCTTGAAGTTGGACAATTTGTCCAGAAAGATGTCGTGAGGAACATCATCAAAGGCCTTATTAAAATTAAGAAAGATTACATCTGCTGCCTTCCCTCTCTACACCAAGAGGGTGACCTTATCATGGAAGGAAACCAAATTATTAAGGCAGTACCTCCCCTTCATGAACCCATGCTGATTCTGCCTGATGATAGCTTTGTTTTTTAAATGCCTTTTCATCAGCACCCAGGATAATTTTCTCCCTAGCTTTTCCAGGGACCGAGATTACACCAATAGGTCTATTGTTTCCTGGGTCTTCTCTCATGCCCCTTTTGTAGATGGGAGTAACATTGGCTAGCTACCAGTCAGCGGGGACCTCCCCAGCCTCCTAAGACTTCTGGTAAATTGTTGAGAGGGGTCCAGCTATGACATCTACCAATAGCCCCAGCACTTAGGTGAATCCCATCAGGCCCCACAGACTTACTAATGTTGAGCTGATACGCTGTTCTTCACAATTTTGGTGGCCACAGATGGAAGGTTGCTTACTCTTCCCCCAGTCATGGTCCTCTAACTCTGAGGGCTTGGCAGCCCAAGATTTAGGTTGGAAAAGACCTCTAAGCTCATCTGGTCCAGCCTTTAACCTAGCACTGCCATGTCTAGCATTAAACCATGTCACTGAGCTCTACATCTACGTGTTTTCTGAAAACCTCCAGGGATATTGACTCATCTACTTCCCTGGGCAGCCCGTTCCAGTACTTCACAATCCTTTCAGTGAAGAAATTTTTCCTAATATCTGATGATCCGTCATTGCCATGAAAAACTGAGGCAAAAAATATTGTTTTTTTTTTTCATAGTTACTTGTTAGGGGACTGTCTGCCTCTTAGTTTGAGTAAGAATTAAATGTTTCTGTTTCAGTCATTGTAGGTTGTCATAAGAGTTGGTATGACAAAGGCATGGTTTGATTGTTGTCTATAAACTCTCACCTTCTGCATATCAAATGGCAGTTTGCAGAAGTGTTCTTGCTCAAATTCACCTATGTTCTTTGTTGGTAACCAAATGTCCACCTACCTGATGATATTACTAATTTTCAGCAGTAAATAACACTAACTAAATCCTTCACACTTGGAAGATGGTTACTAAAGGAGCAAAAAATGGTTGTTTTCTCTCTGAGTACTGCTTAAAACTATGCCGTTTACAGCTGTAGGGAAAACTCTTTCTTACTGATATCTGGTATCTCTTTCAATGCACTTTCTCAAATTCTGCATTCATACAAGAATAGCTGATGCTTTATCAGAGGTTAAGTGTTGCCATGTAAAAGCCTTGTTTTAAAGGGGAGAATGGAGCAAATGCATGTAGTGACCTTAACGAGAGCAAAAGGAAAGCAGGAGTTTATTGGATTTAAGACTGAAATATTCTTTTCTGATAGCATACCTGTCTCAGGAGCAGCTGCTTGCAAGGTATCTTAAAGAAACAAAACTAATATGGAGTATTTTTATAAAGAAAAGTTAAATTGCTCACGCTGATGTTAACCGTCTGTGATGTTTCTTTACTTGGGCACACAGCCTTTCAAGCATCTGCATAAGGAACTTTATTGTCCCTTTTTTTCCAAGTTTGTGGAGGGAGGTATGGTAAAATAGTAAGTCCTGCTCTGAAATTAGCTCCAACTTTTTTGGCGTGTGCTGCCTGCATGTTAAATGATTATAATTCCTACACCCGTAGAGGTGTTCTCTTCAGTGACAGAGGTGGTACACTAGTGTGTTTATACTTTGCCTGTTTTATCTTCTGCCAGATCTAGTAATTGCTGAACAGGTTGCTCAGAATCTGAGGATTGGGATGTAGGTCAGAAGCAGAGTAGCAAGAACAAATTTATTAAAAGTTAACCTTTTTTATTTAATGTAGATAAGTGTTCTTTTCATGTAAGCAAAAATCCTGGAGCTGGCTAATTTTGAGTGTTAAAATATACCCAGTAAATATATATCAGTCACCTTTAATCAAGTCTGATTTTGAAGCTTTGTGATGATCTTTCAGTATCTACTGTTGTGTTGTTCAAGTTCTAGAAAACTTCTGTGTGTGCAGGTCCCTTTGGGGTTAGAAGCTATGAAGTACTACTATGAAGTATTTATACTGCTTAAATACATGTGTAAGCTTAATGTTTTGTATATGTTCTTCTTATCCAGACCAGCATGTTTTGGAAATTTGATCTCCATTCGTCATCCCACATAGATACACTTCTAGAGAGAGAAGATGTAACACTGAAGGAATTGATGGATGAAGAGGACGTCCTGCAAGAGTGCAAGGCTCAGAATCGCAAACTTATAGAGTTTCTGTTGAAGTCAGAATGTTTGGAAGACTTAGTTTCCTTTATTATCGAAGAACCGCCTCAAGACATGGATGAAAAAATTCGATACAAGTAAGAACTTTTTTGGGATGGGTGGGGACTTAGGAAGGTAGAAAGAGGGGTGTTAATTTGATAATGTTTTGAATTCCTGCATGCTGCTCTTTAGTATAGTACTGTTAACTTCTGAGTAAGCTTGTTTTGAACTTAGAGAACTCTTTAATTAAATCATTCTAATGTTTGCATATTTTTTGAGTAGAAAACTCTTATCCAGAAATGCCTCCAAAACCAGTTGCTGCCTAGAGAAAAAGTACAGAAATCAGAACTTGTATGAAGAGTCTTTTTGTTATCTTTTTTTTTCATGTAAAATAATTATACGTAGATGATAATTTTCATGTAGAAATAGTTGAGTGAAACCCCCTATCTGGGTACTATAGCTAGGTGCTTAGCCTTATTTTGTTGACGATTAGTAAGCTGTTTTGAAGATGCATTTTATAGCACTGTAGCACACCTTGTAAGAATATACTTACCACCGGATTGCTGGTGTTTTCCTTTGCAGAGCTAGAAGTGTAAAAATTGGGTAAAGATATGGTTCTTGCTAGATTGCTGAGAAGTTTCAAACTCACAGTTAATCTAAGAGATTGTATACAAGCACTTCTACCACTTTTGGCCTCTTTTACAGTCATCTGTGCAGCAAGCTGCTTTTTCTTATGATAATATGTAAAAAGAAAAATAGAGTACCTTCTTAGCTGCTGCACTTCTCTGTTTTTGGTAAAGCAAACCTTCACTGAATGTTTTTAGCTGAGTTTTAAGTGAAAGACACTGCTATTTTAAAGCCTTAAATTGCTGATGCTGTCGTAATTACCTCTAGCGTGAGTGGGTGATAGTACTGCTCCATGACACAGGGCCAGAGGTACAATTCAGAACACTCAGTAATTAAGAGGCCATCAAAACCAGTAAGTTCCTGTATCTGGCAATACTAACTAGTTTTGCAGGCTTTGTTTGACTTTGGCTAGCTCAGTGAGTCTGTACACAATTGCAACAGGTATAGAAGTATTAATCCTGAAGAGATTGATTTTAACTTTTTTAATGTAAGCCTTGTTATTGGAAAGGGGCAAGCACTGGGGAAGGAGCAATATTAATCTGGTATTATCAACCTGCTTAATTTCTTGGTAGCTAACTTTTTCCTCTTCCAAAAAAAGTTTTCTGAAATGAGAGGTCAATACTTGAACAGCTGGCTTTAACAGTGGATTTTAAAATAAAAGCCTGACCTTTCTTTTCCCTACGTCCCCAGTGCTGTCCTATTTCAACTGAAGAATGTAGTAGTCCATTTCCTAAATGAAAGAATGCAGCTTGTAGCCTGAATGTATAGTTGTTACCTTGCTTTTTTATTAGTGCAGAGGTATGCTTGAAAAATTGGTCAGAAACCCTACCAGGTTCTGATTTAAAAGCTGAAGGTGTACCTTCTTTGAAGCATGAGTGGATGGAGACACACATATGTACACTTCTCTTCCTTTTCCCCAGATATCCAAACATATCCTGTGAGCTGCTTACTTCAGATGTCTCACAGATCAACGATAGGCTGGGAGAAGAAGAATCCTTACTTATGAAACTGTACAGCTTCCTCTTAAATGAATCTCCTCTAAACCCTTTACTTGCCAGTTTCTTCAGCAAGGTGCTAAGTATTCTTATAAGCAGAAAACCAGAACAGGTAAGTATTTAAAAACTCTCCACTTTAACAGTTTGAGATTTGCCTGAGCTATTTGTGCAACAGTAACTGCCTGTGTGCCAGTGCTTACCTTTTGTCTTAGCTTAGCTTAGTATTTGCATGGTGGTGTCTTCATTAAATTATTGTTAGAGGTGAAGATTAATGAACTGAGTCAGTGGGAGTGGGGCTGATCCTTTGTGGAAGACTGTCATAAAAAAAAAAAGTGAGAGACATTTGGAATCCTCATCCAGAAATGCAGTGCTCCTCTGTGTTTGTGTGACCCTGCAAACAGCTGGCATGGCTGACTCTGGTACCTGAGCAAATCATTTGTGACCCTGTTCTGTGTTTTTCATTTTGAAAGTATATTATGTTAAGGCTTTACTATGTCTGCTTCAATCCCTGAGCCAGGAGTTGTGGGAATTCATACAAAAAAGGAAAAATGACTGTAGATTTTTAAGAAGTTTATGGTCAGCAGCCTGGACTGGCAAGAAGGCCCAAGACATACTCCACGTAGACAGATCTGTATTGTGCCACTTTAGCTGCTATGCACTGTTTTACCTTGCCTTGCACTGCTAAGTGGCAGAAGTATTTACAAAGTTCTCATTCATTTTCTCATTTTAGTAACTGAAAGAAACTGAAATGTACATGGTGTAGTTTACCATGTAAAATACAGGTAAACTATTGTAAGCTTCTTTCTTGTTAATTTCTAGATTGTGGATTTTTTAAAGAAGAAACATGATTTTGTAGACCTCGTTATTAAGCACATAGGGACCTCTGCTATCATGGACTTGTTGCTCAGGCTACTGACTTGCATAGAACCACCACAGCCCAGGCAAGAAGTGTTAAATGTGAGTAAAACTTCTCAGATACTTGTGAACTGTCGAAAAGATGTTTTGTAACCTGTTTAGACAATTTGTACCATCGTTCACCTCTGCCACCCCAGCAGGTGTTTTGGGAAGTTTTCTCTCAAAAGTAAATAAATCTGTTTGTTTTTTTTAACAGTTCTTCAGAAATGCTAATTTTGTTTTTATCCTTTTTTTTTTCCTGATGTAATGTTAGTCCTTGTTTAGAAATATCAACAGTATGATTAATGGCAGCTTTCAAACTACTTCTTGTAAATCCTTTAACTCATTTAATTCATTCATTTGGTTAACATTCCTGCTGATGTCTACGCTTTTACAGTGGCTAAATGAGGAGAAAATTATCCAGCGGCTGGTGGAAATTGTACATCCATCTCAAGATGAAGATGTAAGTATTGGTCTGCTCTTTTGGATACATCTGTGCAGCAGGTTGCTGTAAAATATTGTGTTAAAACTCTAAGTCTTACTGTTTTCTACTTGCTTCTTTTTAATAACCTGATTTTGTTATTTAAGAGTGTGGAAGTCTGGGGTTGTGGAGAGCTGATTACTTCCCTCTCCCACCCTTCCTTAGGATCTGCACAGTTTATCAGGTAATCCAAGTCTAGTGCAGACTAGGTATTGTTTGGAGATTCAGCTGTAATGCTTTGCCTTTTTAATAGTGAAAATCAATTGTCTCATGACTTGAGGGTTTTTTTTGTCTTGCTAAGATTTAGATATGGCATAAAGCTATTGTCTAAAATGTCTCCTGTTAGGAGACTCTAGTCCAAGCTTCTTTAATGCAGCTTTTTAATGAAGAATTCTAGTCCAGCATGTTATTAATCTATGCTTTATTTTTCTGTTCCAGAGACATTCAAATGCATCACAGTCACTCTGTGAAATTATTCGTCTAAGCAGAGACCAGATGTTACAAATACAAAACAGTTCAGAACCAGATCCACTGCTTGCAAGTCTAGAGAAGTAAGTTAGTTTGAATTTCTGACCTTTTCTCAGTTCATCAGAGCACTATTATTTAACTTCTGACCTTTAAAACTCTTTAGAGTTGCAAGCTTCCTTTTGCTGATGACTTCTCTTGGCTAACTGTTATCCGTGCAATTTGAAGTAGCTCAGCAAGTAAGTGGAGCCCACCTGGATGACTTTTTTGTTGGCTTCACTTAAGATTTCCTCATTCTAGTATCTTGGTTCTGCCTGAGAAATGATAAAATATTTCTTGCACTGTCAAAGTTAGTTATCACATGTGTAAACGTGAAGGTTAGCTTGATACTGTGCAGAATACACATAAGGGACGTAGGCTTTGATCTCTTGTTTAAGTGAAGTTTGTTTCTACCAGAGATTTTTCTGTGTCACCTTCTTTGTTTTGCAGGTTCTAGGTTTAGGTTTACATGGCTGTATGATGTGCTGAGTCTTTTGATCTGAGAAAACTGACAACCAACAGTACAAAAAGGGATAGTTTTTTTTTTTTTAAACAAAACAAAAAATAGATCAAGAGAGGGAGTAGGGAAATATGATTGGGGTAGTGATGTCATAGGGGAATGATTGTCCTAGCAGCACCTGGTGGCTTGAAATAACAGACTTTATTTCATTATCCTGTTCTCTAATTTCACATGGGCAAACAGTAGCTAATTCTCTTAACAGCTGTATTCTAAAGAAGTGTTATGTCTGATGCCAATACTTTCTTTTCAGGCGAGAAATCATAGAGCAGCTGCTGTCAAATATTTTTCATAAAGAAAAAAATGAATCTGCAATAGTCAGTGCAATCCAAATATTACTGACCTTACTTGAGACAAGACGACAGACGTAAGTGTGTTTATTGCTTGTACTTATGGCTGCTTAATTTAACTAAGCTGTTGCTCAACAATAGTAAGTGAAGTGCCTTCCATGAAGTTATGACTGAACCATTTTAGTGGCCTTTTACAGGTGAAGTAGTAAAAGAGCAAACTGTGTGATTGTTGTTACCAGCAGTGTTATTGCACTTCCCCTGGATGACTGGTCTTTCCACGGTGTTTTCCAGAACCTAGTTTAATTGCCACATGTCAGATAAGACTGATTTCATTTCATCATTTTTTTCCTGGACACAAGGAATAGAGTTCCTGTGTACAGTGTAGTGACTGGATATTCACTTTTTTAAAATTTGGGATCTTCTTATAAGTTTGAGAAACTAGTGAACAGAGGCTTGATAGATGAGTGAAGCTCTTTCTCTGCCACAAAAGAAGGAATTGAACAGCCATAAAGTTTAATCTCATAGCTGAAAACCAAACTGGAGATTTCAAGCATGATAAACCTAAATATATTAGGCCTAGTGTTTGGAAGAATCTTGTTCTGTTGTTAGTTCACACTTGATTTATATTTGTAATCTCCTGAGTTTGCCCTCCTCTTAATTCTGTTTTCATGCTTTTAGAACTGTGACACTAAGAATCATAGCTTTAGAGTTGTTCTAGAACTAGTTTGGATATTAATACTAGACCTTGCTTCTGTGTTTTAGATTTGAAGGCCATATAGAGATCTGTCCTCCAGGCATGAGCAATTCAACATATTCTGTCAATAAAAGTGTTTTAGAAGCCATAAAATCACGACTTTCATCCTTCCATGAACTCCTACTTGAGCCTCCAAAAGTAAGTGAAACCTTTTGTTGCCAAATGAAATGAAGCAAGACTCATTGTGTGCACAGTTCCTCTGGACTTGCCCAGAACCCAGAGTAGATCAGCTCTCCACTGCATGTACCATGCACTCCAGGCATGCTGAATTCTTCACGTTTTTTTAACTGACTTTTTTATGGTAATCAACTTATTCATGTCATGTTGTTGCAAAAGATAAATACGACATGTTGAATGAATAGGGATTTCACCTATAATGCATTTATTTTTTTCAATGAAGTTGTTACCAGCAGAATTTCAGCTGAAGCATAGTTCAGTTCAGGGTGCTCTAATGTGTAGGAGTAAAGGACCTGAGGGTCAGAGTGAAAATGATCAGAAGCTTAAAGTTCAGATAAGAGACAGGTTTGGTGGTGGTGGAAACAAGGTAGTGGTAAAGGCTGTTTTAGCCTAGAAAAGATGAGTCCTCAAGCTTTTAAGCGCAGAAGAGATGAAAAATGCAAATAATCCTTTCTTGCAACAAGATGTGCGTTAAAAGTAAGGTCATAAGATACTTAGTGTTCTCTGGTGATTGGAGTACTGAGCATTTGAATAAATCATCTAGTGAAGTTATTGACTGCTTTTTTAAGCACTAGTTAAATGAGCATCTTATCCATGTTCTTAAATTTTGCCTTAGGTAAGTGAACTGGCAGGTTGTCTGCCACTTTTGACACAAGGGTGGCACTGGTTAGGTACTGGATGCCAAAATGACATCCAGTATTGTGGAAGATAGTACATTTCTAGCTGGTCTCCTTGTCCAAAGGTTTGTGCTTTAATATAGGAAGAAAGATGTTTACATAATGTCTTTCCCTTGCTCCTTGCATATTTGTTGGTAGATTTTTAGCTCTTAAAGTAGTCAACACCAGATTTTCTGACTGGCTGATACTTAGGTGATAATAGGTCTCATCTGGCAGCCAGCTAAAATTTTGATGTAAAAACCATGGTGCTTATTTTAATACAAGGACCTATTAGTGCATGGGAAGAGATTCTTGCTGTTGGAAGTAACTCCTTCAGAGACAACAGGTGGAGCTTTGGTGTGCTCTTCTAATGTTACACACAACTAAAGAAGTTTCTTTGAAATTGCTTTCAAGTATATGAAGCAATATGAAGTCAGAGCTGTTGAGGCATGAACGCATTTAGAGACTGTCTACCTAGTTGTTCTGCAAGTACTGTGGTAATGTAAACTGTAGCTGTGTACCTGGATTAACCACTGAGAAGTGTAAGTATTTCTTAATCCTTTTTAAGGTTGGATGGAATTCATCTACTTTGAACTCTTACAGCTACCGATCAGTTTTTAGTGCCATTGGTTCCATGTGGCTGTCTTTCGTTGCCCCCTGTCTGTAGAATTAAAATAAACCATGGTGTTCAGAACTAAGTTGCTTTTTCAGTTTTTGCAAGATCTTGTTCAAAGACTGGTTGTGTACACTTTTAAAGAACTATTCTCTCATTGTGCATAGCAACAAGTTTTTTTGACAAAAATTATCTTTTTTTTTTTTTTTTTAGAAAAGTGTCATGAAGACAACCTGGGGTGTATTGGATCCACCTGTGGGGAACACACGTTTAAATGTGATTAGATTAATATCTAGCCTTTTACAGACAAATATGAGCAGTGTGAATCAGGAACTTATAGAGCTTAACAGCATAGGAGTTATACTGGTAAGAACTTTCTGCTGCCTTATCTTTGTGAAATGCTAATAAGATCTTATCTCTGTCAATGCAGATAATTTGTAATATATTTCCAACATAACTTTTCAGACTGTTTGTGTTTTGACTTCTAGTGCATTGTTTGAGAACTCCAGATACCTAATTTTACTGTTAAATTCATATGTCTGAAGCCAGTGTTTTCCTCTTATTGATTCAATTTTCTGCACCTTATACACGATTTTCTTGGAGTGGTTTTCTTAAGCTTATTTTTCATCTGTCTGCACAACTTTTCAGCCATGTTCAATGCTTCCCTACTTTTTTATCCTTTTCCTAAGATGTTCCCTCAAAACCTCTTTCTATCTCTTAATATGTAGAACACTAAATGGTATCTTAGCATTGCCCTATAAAGGGACAGTTTATCCTGGTAGCTTGTATGCTTAAAAACTGTTTGAAAGCAAACTGTTGCACAGCAAACTCCTAGCCTGACATTTACACTTTGAGTACTTCCTAACTCAGGCTTCAACTGTAGCAGACATTCTAAGGTTGACCAAAATCTTCAAATGTTTGCATCATTTGACAAATACCTAGCAAGACATGCTGGAATTTATACTGTAGTTTCCAAATACAGTATGTGAGCCTCTGCTTTTAAGCAGAGTTGCAAAACTAAAATAGCTTTTTTCAGCTCAAAATTTTGTCTCTCAACCTCAGTTCTGTCTTGTATAAGATGTTAAGTATTCTCAGACTGCATCTAGATTATCTGAGGTAGCTTTCTGTAATAGAAGAATAAAATTGGTAGATGACGTAAGGCATCTCATTAAGGTGAGGAGCACATTCCCAAAGGGTATTGTAGATACTGAAAATCTGTGGTGAATTCAAAAAAGAAACTTAAGGACTAAGAAGGTCATAAATAGTATTTCTCACTTGGGAACTTTAAGGGCTGCAGCTAGCAGAAAGAACTAAGAGGGGAGTATCATTCCAGCCTTGTCTTTATCTGGAAGTGCTTTATTGGTTACTCCCAGCATAAACCTATTTGGGTTACTCTCATCCCGTATGATAGTCCTTATGTTCTGATAATAGCAAGCATAAGTATTAAAATTTGTGTAGGTCACACTTTGTCATGTATGATGCTACTTACTGTAAAACTTAAGGAATTTGCTTGTGTTGCCATTTAGTTATGTTTGAAAGGACCCTGCTTTGAGTGAATCCTGTTGAATTTGTTTTTCAGGACATGTTCTTTAAGTATACGTGGAATAACTTTTTGCATACTCAAGTAGAAATCTGTATTGCATTGATTCTTGCAAGTCCTCTTGAAAGCACAGAAAATGGCACAATTACAGATCAGGATTCCACTGGGGACAATCTTTTACTGAAACATGTAAGTTTTGTTTTCGGGAGGTGTTCGCTGAATGTTCCTCTCACCAAGGTATAGTAGCAGTTATTCTTTCATAAAGTAAGCTTGGGCTATATTTTATGTAAAATGAAGAATAAAACTCTTTTGTGTTTTCTTAATGTGTCAGTTCAGGCTGTTAAACCCAGAAGTGCAATGGAATGGATTTTTGCTGCTGTCAAAGTGAGCAAGTATGCAAGGTTGCAAGTACTTCCTCTTGTTAAGAATTAAAATTGCTATTTTGGTAGTTGTACACTCATAAAATACAGCAGCTGCATTCAAAAGGAAGTTGATGTAGCTGATGATTCAGAAAGAATTGATATAGGTTCAACCTTCAGGTTTCTGTTTGGGATCTGTCAACTGCTTCTGAACGTTGAACCATTTAATGAAAGCATCTATCCTAAACCTGAAATCAATTGTCTTATAAGTCATCAGGATTTGTTAAAATCAACCCTGCAATGCATAGTAGTGTTCTACATAACTTTACAGCTGTTAAGTATACTTTGTGTTTTTTCATAGCTCTTCCATAAGTGCCAATTAATAGAACGAATACTTGAAGCATGGGAGATGAATGAGAAGAAACAGTGAGTAACTAGCTCTTCCATTTCCTGCAGTTGTCTCTATACAATTTGAGTTGTGATATGTATAATCAATTCAGAACTGAACTGACCAAGAAATACTGACCAATAAATATTCTTGTGTTTGTCTTGCTTCATCTTAAGAATCTCTTCTCTGAAATATCCAGTATATGAAATACTTACCACAGTACTGTTAGTGGTATTTGGAAGTACATTTTGCTTGGTAATAAATGGAATAATTAAGTTCTAAACACTTACGTTAATATTTGGATTAAAGCTTTCACACATACTGAGTCTTTCAGAGTTCTTCAGTTTCTCTTTTAGTAACGCCTGAAGTTCAGGCCATCTTTTTGGTATCACTTTAATACTTTTCCCTATCACCGTTTGAGAATACAATCAGGTCTGTAATTCTTGCAATGTATAAGGTTTTACAACTGTCTGTAGAGTTAATTCATCTTCAAGTACAGAAACATACCATAAAGTTTTGAGAATGGAGGAAAGAAGATAGTTTTCTCTAGTAAGCAATTGAAATTTTTTAATAAACACATCAAAGCAAATTGCATACTGGGGAGCAACACATTCATGTAAAAGCCAGGACCTCAGCAGTGGAATTTCTCCTGAAAACGTGTAATTGTGAAAAGATGTTTCAAGCAGCCAACCCTGTCTGGAACTGTTCATATTGGGGGAAAAAAAATGTTAAGCCTTCACCTGAAGGGGTAAAGCATCTCTCTGAAGGTCTAGGAGCTAATTTTGTCTTCATCTTGACAGTGCTTTATATTTTTTCCACGTGCACAAATGTGAAAGCAGAAATAATTTGTTCAGATACTGTGTACTTCCTTGATAGTTATATGCCTGTCGGTCTTCTAGATTGGCTCAGTGTAATCTAGACATCTGTACCTTAAATTCTCGAGTATTTTTGTGAAACTCTAGTTCTAGAATACTGCTCTTACATTTAAGAACTGGTAGGTTATAGGTCTTTCTTGTTTAACTTCCTGACCCTGGTAGAATGTTTTATAACAAAATATAGTAGCACAGTTGCTCAGAGTACAGGCATTTAAGTTCTTTTTCTATCTTGCAGGGCTGAAGGAGGAAGACGGCATGGTTATATGGGTCATCTGACAAGGATAGCAAACTGTATCGTGCACAGTACAGATAAGGGGCCTAACAGTACGCTAGTCCAACAGCTTATTAAAGGTAATGTTAATACTCTTAAGCTTCTCATTGTGTCTTCCATGATCAAATTTTTAGGAAATTATACAACTTTAAAAATGAAAAGCAGTTTCTGGATAGAAAAAGAATATTTTGACATATTCTGCTTAAAATCAGTTGTCCTTAAACATGTTTGTATTTTTTAAACTTTACTGAATTGTATCAGAGCTTTGAAATAAATGTAAAGAGATGCTGAACTAGTTTAGACTTTACAAGATGAACTAATGTCTTTAGGAGTGCGTGTACATTCTTTACGTTATTTCTGATTGCTTTGTTGTTTTTTAAGAGCACAAGAGAAGAACAACATTTAAAAATTAAGTGATGCTTTGCTGTTGATTGTATTACATAGCTTTTTTGTTTCCTACTATAGAGCTTCCAGAGGAGGTCAGAGAGCGATGGGAGACATTCTGCACAAGCTCTTTAGGAGAAACTAATAAAAGGAATACAGTGGACCTGGTAAGTGGTGCTGGATAAAGTTTGAAAATTGCTGTTGTTTGCTTGGGCCCCAATTTTTTGTCAGCAGCACAGGCAGTCTTGCCAAGTACTTTCAAAGTACAAATCCAAGAGGACAGGTATTGAGATAGTGTCAAGTACATCTAGTTGCTGAGCTATGGGACTTCCATTCTTTAGTTTCCTTTTTAACTAAAGCCACATCATTAATGTTTTGTATGAGAATTTTGCTGTAGTTCAGTTCATACAGTTCATCCCAGGCAATCACCACAAAGGAAGATATTCTTAGAGCTTCAAGTTAGCTTGAAAGCTGCTGTCTCCTCTAAGAGTACGGACAAAAACATGAGGAATTGATTTAATGGTAAAGTGCTACCTGCATTCCACTGTGTGTTACACTGCATACTTTTGTTTTGCATCTGTCTTAATGTTTCTTCTGCATGCAACAATAGTGATTACATGTTTGTTAAGAACTAAATTTAAAGTGCGAAGAGGTTTTATGTAGTCATCTTGAACGTACAGTTTAAGAGTAATCACCATATCTTAGTTTGAACTTTTAAAAGCTTATTTTTAGCTGCAGTGATCACAAGATAGTGGAATTCAGGATCCTGAGGGTTGGGAGGAAGGTGAAAAGTTTAGTAGTACTTAAGGACTAGGTAGGAGAATATGTATCCTTTTAAGCCTAAAAACATTGTACAAGACAAATTATCCATGGTTGCCTTAAGAACCACCGTGTAGTTCCTTTCTCTTAAGGAAAATCCCCCTTAGGGATATTCTCAAGAAACTAAACCAAAAATACTATACACTAAATTTAATTATTTGCATAAAGTGCCTGTGCTGCTTTGGTAGTACAACATGTTAGAAAATGACTAGTAAGAACAGTGAGGAGCTTGTTTTCTTGCCTAAAGTTGCTGAAATTTGCAGAAGTCATTTTTACACCCCTTCCCTGGCATAATTATGCAGTTTATTCATTAGGGTGGTGTAATGCTATTTTTTTCTTTAAGGTTTATGCTTGAACTACAGCATCTGTCAGAAAACAAGAAAAATAACTCGTGTTTTGGACCTTATGTCCTGTTGGTTCCCAAAGAGAATTTGAGGAAGAAGCTGGAGTCCCGAGCATGTTACTGTTACAACAGCAATGGCAGGACTTCTACTGCAGATTAGATAGTTAATAAGAAGCAGCTACAACTATATAAAAACATTTTATTTGGTTCCCTACCCAAAGGTGCAATTGTAGAAGGAGTAATTATATAACGTTCTCAGACAGCATGCCTGGGGGGGTGTCCAGGGCAGCTCAAGCTGTATAGAATACCATGTAATTACACTGAAATGTACAGATTTTATGAGAATATTTTTGCAAATACACTGAGCGATAACCTTCAGCAGACTTGGTCTGTCATTTGGTACAATGGTTCTTCTCCAGGCAGAATAAGCCCAGAGGTCATTTGGTGCATTACTATTCTTCCCACTTACTGACAACCCTAGTGTTAAATTTACTCTGGCATGTTTTCTTCAGAAATTCACTAATTCACTGATAAAATTCACTAATAAGTCAGGGCACTTCTATACAGCAAATGGTATTGCAGGGCTGTATAAAATAAAACATGCCAAATTGTGTGGCTTTTAAATAAGTGTTATACTAACAAAGGAAAAGGCATAAAAGTACAGTATACCTCAGGAAAACAAGTGTTCTTCATTTGTCTGTTGCATGTGTGTCCTTACTGTGGCATTGTACTAGGATATTTGTGGGAGCATAGAAGGGTGTCTGCCTTGTGTGAAGCCTTGCATTTTCTCTGTTTAACTCATCCTTTTGTGTTGCCTGGTCTCTTGTTCAAAAACAAGATTTTTAAAAAAGAAAAAGTTCACTTGATAATTTGAATCACGGAGTTCTAGAGGTGTAAGAATAATGCAGTATAGCATTGTCCAGAGTAAATTGTCATCTATGGATTTGCTTTATACCAGTGGTCTTCCATAGAATATGTCTAAGGGGTCAGCTGTAACTACTGTTACTTTACCTAGTTGCTGTTCCAATTAAAATTACTTCTGGTGTGCTGTTCTGATAGAAAATAACTTCTTCCAAGAACATGCTCAGCCACACTGCTACCTAAGGAACAAACTATTCCCAATGGTTCTATGTCAGATCACCAAAATTATCTATTTTTAATGGTAATATAAAACAGCTGTTATGGCAACAATTCCAGGTTCGCTTCTGCAAATCAATACTGATGAAATTCTGAAGGTGCCTTTTTGATAAACTTTTTTTTTTTCAAATACTGCAGATATCTACATTTTCCTTTAAATTTTCTATGTTCTCTATTTTGGAAAGGAAGATCTGTGTATAATCCATCATTTTGGTGACTACCAATATACTTGTTCAATGTGACTTGTGGTAAAAAGAGAAGATGCAAATATTTTAAATAACTGTCCGTTGTAGGACTGGATTTTTATATGTTTAATCATTCTGAAGTACATAAAAGCTTTGGCTTTTTTTGGTGTCGAACACACACAGGTTAATGCTACTGAAATATTTTAGGGATTCTTCTATGTGGTATAGCAGTTGAGAAAACTGCAAATAACTCAGTTTCTTGTTTAGATACGAAACTGAAGATTCAGGAAGGCAGAACAAATGTATTTGAGTTTGTCACGTAATAAGCAAATGACTGAATTATTTTGTGTAGGTTACTACCTGCCACATTCATTCTTCCAGTGATGATGAAATTGACTTTAAAGAAACTGGCTTCTCACAGGATTCATCTTTGCAGCAGGTGAGTTGAAATCTTTTAACAGTGTAGTGTTCTTCTCTTAAAAAAAAAAAATGAAAAAGTGTGTGTGTGTGTGTATATATATATATCTTTAGTGGAACTCATATTTTTATCACAACCAAATACAAATCTAGAAAGTTTAAACTAACTTAGATACATGTGCACGCACACAACTATTTTACCAAAATTGGAGGTGTGGCTTTTAACATAAGGCACAGCATCTCAGTGTGCTTTTTTTTTTTTTATTTGATCATGCTCTGCATGCAGAATTCTGCTCATTATGCCTAAGACACTTCATATGTTAGCTGTCTGGCTGAGCTGGGCATGGTTTGCAACTTTTCTTAGTAGATGCAGCAGTTTGATATGTGATGGCTTCTGTTTTCTCGAAAATACAAATTGCTTTGAAACCAAATGTGGGTTTATGTTTGGTCTTGATAATCAAAGCTTTAAAAATGTTGACCCTTACTTTGGGGAAAGGAGGAAGACTGGCTATTCATTGTTACATGTTTTTAGTTTATGGCAAAATATTACACCGTCTAGTAACAATATAAATAACTTTATATACCCATTGCTATGTGGCAACTGTACATAGCTAAATGTTCCTGAACTAAATTTCTAATCAACTCGATCACTTATTTGCAGTTCAGTATGTGATTTTGACAGCTCATTTGTGAGTGTTTCAAAGATAATTATTTATCATTCGGTTTAACAAAAGAAATCTGAAAATGTGTAAGGAAGTTTCAGATCCACCAATCTGAAAGCTTAAGGTAAAGCTATGTCCACCTTGAAGTTTTAATGCTTTCATAGTGTACTAATTGATACAGTGTTTAATATGGTGATGTTTTGGAGTATTTTTGGGATGAGTGATTAGAGAGAACATAATGAATATTATTATAGATTCCCCTATACAAAGCATATTACCTGACTGGGTTATTAACCGAAATCTTATTTATCTTTCAGCTCATACTAACAGCTGTGTAGTACCTAGTCTAAGTCTGACTTTGGTATTTCATGCATCTTTATAGTTTTCCTATAAGTACTTGCTTATCCAAGTTTGTTTTGGGAGTGGTGGCTCAAGTTTTCAGAATCTAATACATTTTTATCAAGTGCACTGATCTTGTGTATGTAAGGTGCACCTGAATACCAACATGATAGGTTGGATGCTGTCTAGCAGCTCTAGTGAGAAAGTAAGATCTTCAAATAACCCTGTGCTTTTCATGCAACCCCTTAATGATCCGGGTAGTTAATCTGCAAAAATTCAAATGGGCCTGTGCTGTTGTCTTTCAAGTTTTTCATCATTTTCTTAATCTATTTTTCAAAGCTAAGTGAAATATACTTTTTTAGAGTTGTCTTGTGAAGAAAGCAAGATACTAGACAAGACAAATCACTGATGGGAAATGAATTGAAATTACTTAAAGCATTCTCCAGCTGCACAAATTCATTCATAAAGGTAACTGGCTCTACAGCTAGACTGCTCTAAATGGGCCAGTATTTCAAGGAGGAAACAGGAAGTACCCATTAGGAAATAAGTAAAGGAGGAAAATACTAAGAAAACAATTTACTTTTTTTGGTCAAATTGTGTAAGTTTTTTCTGGTCAAATTAAGTTTTGTCTTTAAAAAATTGTTCTGTCACCCAGTCCTGGGAGGGAAGGTTTCTTGTGCCACTAGTATTTCATGTGCTGTCCTGCTGTGGCACTAGAAACTTTTCCTTAAGAAAACATTGTTCTGCTCTGCACCAGTTAGTACCACCTTGTCTCTTTGAAAATATATTAGACTCCAGGACAGAACTGTCTTTTCTCAGACTACCATTTTGTAATTACATTTTATATACTGTCATAGCCAATTTCTGTGTAGTGACTTTACACAGGTTTCATAATTCTGATGCCATGAACCTTGTGTCTTAATTTTCTGTTTATCCTGGTGACTGGTATTAGTGGCTGCACCTTGTGTAAGGAAGAACAAGTAAGTTTAGCTTTTCTTCACACAGGGGAAATTCACTGCCTTTCACTTACATGCACTTTTAACATCCAGAATAGTGAAAATACTTTACAGGAAGAAGAGTAACAAATATTTAAAAAAAGAAAAAAAAAAAAGTAATGGTTTTACTGGGACACAGTAAAACAGTAATTGGTGGTTTTCCTATACCAATTCTGATATACTGATTGTGTTGGTATGAAATCCTGAAGTCCTGAAAAGCCATCTCAGATATTACAATTTAAGATCAAAATATAAAGGAGTTCCTGCTTTGGCCTAGCTTAGCACAGTAACCCAACTAGTGCCTGACTGAGGGTTTCTCACACTCGCTGACAGCCCTGCTGGAGTCTTGCTTTTTATCTCATCCTTCTATGTTCTCTCTCTTTTCCTCCAGTTTTCCTAACGTTTTAATCAAAACCTGTTTTGCTTTTTTAAATATTCTCTTGTTTTCTTTCCATATTGATTTTATTTTGCTTTACCACCTTCTTGATAAGTTTTACCTATATGTTGTGTCTCCTTAGCTACCTGGGCAAGGAAATAAGGGAGCTGATGTGACAGTCATATTTCCTAGAATATCTTAGCCTTGGCTGAATTGCACACAGAAATAACACTATTGAAAGTTCCTAGAGAATGAGTGCTAATTTAGTTCATAGTCCTGAGAAATAAAGAACGACTATGGTTTTGGATAGAAGGAAATGCCCATTTATACATGTCTGCTGGCAGTTGAAGCTGGCATCCTTTTAAAAACAAAACAACAAAAACAGAACCCACAGTTGTGACACTGCACTGGAATGTTCAATAACTTATTTTCTGTACTCTCCAATTTCTTCTGGATGTTGAAGAGACTGCTAGTGGGTAGGCTTGAGTGATACTTCCCCTGATAAGCACAGGTCATGTTTATCATGTAGTTAAGTATCTGTATTTAATGTACTTTTTTGTACTTTTTTTTTTTTTTGCTGCTTATAACTTCATGTTAATATTAACAAAGTCAGTTTTTTCTTTGACTTGGTACATGGTGCTGTTCCCCCATATCTTAGGGGTTCATTTGGAAAGGCGCTAGTTAGCACATGGTTAAACGAGAGATTTAATTTTCTTATCGAGAGCTGCTATTAGACTGGCTTTCAATTCAGTAAATGTAAGATGCGTAGTCAGTGTTACTATTTAAAACTTAAAGGTTGAGACATCCTTTTCCTGTCCCTTATGTTTAGATTAGAGAGACTTTTATTTCTTTGGAGCAAAATGGGCAAATAGGATTTAGAGTATTATTAGAATCATTATATCACTGTCGTTGGTCCTGGGGTTGCCAGGCCTTTTCTGATTATCAGATGCAACAAATGACGTCCAATTTTATTGACCAGTTTGGCTTCAACGATGAGAAGTTTGCTGATCAAGATGACATCGGCAAGTGAGTATATTGTTATATTGGCTTTGATTATAGTCTCTGGAGCCTCCCTTTTTTAGTGTATTTGGCTGTGGTTCTGGTGATGACAAATGCCAGCCTTGATTGATGTGATGCAGTTGCCAGTCAGTCCTGTCTTCTTGTACCAATTGTGTGTGTTGATAGAGTGCTCTTAGAAAACCTCCCTGAACGGTTTACATCAGAAAGTAACAGCTAATTTTTTACTTCTAATGTTCTGACTGTGCCAGCATGAAAACACAGTGCTTGGGAATAAATGATAGCTCTGCTTTTAAAAGCCATATCTATCCAAGGACTTCGCATTGTTTGGGACACTTGCACTTGGAGGTACAAAGTCAGTCATTCACATCTCTGAGTTGGTGTAGCAGAGCAGATGAGTAGCTCTTCTTTTAAGTTTGACTGTGTTCTTTTCTGTAGGGAACAGTAAAGAAGCACATCATAAATATACTTTTGTTTTTAAGGGTGAAGCAGTTAAGACATGAGAGCATGTCTTGGTCAGGTTTTAAAAACAACAAAAGCAAGAAAAAAATAAAACAAAACAAACAACAACAATAAAAAAGACAAACTGCTCTGTTTCTTTAGTTCAAAGTAAATTGGTGCCATAATGGGAAAGGGTAAGAATGGGAGTTCTTAATGAAAGAAGACTTGATCCTGATTTAATTAAAATTAATGGCTTGGGATGCAAAAACATTCAGATAAAAGAGAGTAAAAACATTACTTGAAGACGGTTTCTAGAGGGGTTTAAAAAAAAAAATTAAGATCTTCTGTAAGACATGTTTCCTATCTGATGGTTAACCAAAACTTGCACATGTCTTCCAAGATGCATAGCTGCTTTATTACACCACATAATCTGGCAGTATAGATGAAGTTATGATAAGTGAGAAAGCAGCTCAGGATATTGTTTAACTTGGCTAGAAGCAAGTGAATTTTGGCAAGAATGGGAGTTGGATTTCCTTTGTAGTGTATGATCTTGGTGGAAAGAAGATGACTTAAGTAAGCAGATCTCTTGAGATATGCAGTAGGTAGTGAGTTGAATTCAACTGTAGGTGAACTGCTTTTTACTTTTAAATTCATGCCTCTTGTGTAAGAATCAATTGCAGTTTAAATTACCTGTTTTCTGGTAACCCCTCTGGTGGGTGGGGGTTAGTCCTGTGGTAATGCAGTCGCAGTTAGAAGTGGTCTAAATGAACAAATTTTATCTTATTCCCTGCTTGGTGAGGATTAGAGGAAGACAGTAATACATGCGCTGCCGAGTTCAGTGCTATATGTGACCAGAGGAAGAATACATTAACTCTTGTGAAAGTCTAGTAGTATCTTTCTACTCTTTTTCTGTTTGTTCTTGCTCCCCCCAGGGATTTGGTTTGCCTAATGCTATTTTTGGTATAAGACACCTCTGTAATTTATTTGGTGAAACTGCTGAATGGCCCAATGCATGAAGAAGTGCAAAGCCTTACTACTTAGTGTTAAGTTTTGAAAAAAAAAAAATCTTAACTTTCATTTAGCGATTGGTTTAAAAAAAAGAATAAATTCATTTATTTTTTTTTCTGTAGGAAACAGAGGTTGATATTGCAATTTTTCACTTTGGTTCTTCCTTTTGAGAAGGCCCGTCTGTATGTAGAGCAGCGAAAATGATTATCAGATGTAACAACTACTAACACAGATCTTTGCAGGATCTAAAGACACATCATGGTAGACCATAGATTAGGCATTCATGAGGTCTGCTTTTTTTTTCTAGTGCATAGCAGTCCAGTGTTTGAGATTTGTGTATATCACTTCAGTTATGCTGGCTTAGGCTAGTTGCATCCACACAGCTCATTAGGGAGTAGGCATCTCTTATTCTTTAAAATATTTCACAACTAGAAAGATTATGTGAATACCAGGCTTCCTTAATGCAGATTTTGACTGTTCTGTTTCATGTTGGAAATTAGTGTGTCTTTAATCTCAGGTTTCTCATTTTCCTAGTAACATAAATAAAGACTTCTGAAAACAATGCCTTCATGTTATGTCTCTTCTTGGTTTATTTCATACATGTGTTGTGTTTTTTTTGCAGTGTTTCTTTTGATCGTGTCTCAGACATCAACTTTACCCTCAATACAAACGAAAGTGTAAGTGTACGTTCCTGCAATCACAACAATTACTGTTTCAAACTTCTGTGTGACTGCAAAGTTTTGATAGTGATTATATTTCATCCTTCATGATGTATAATTGTTGGAAAGTAACTACCCTACCTTATTCCTGCGTTATGTGGATTTTCAAGCTGAAGAACTTTTTTGCTTCTCCTTGTGGTTGATATTAAGCAGAAGTGCTTCTAATGTGTATATCCAGGTTCAAGAACAAGCTTGTGTCTAATTTGTGCAGACTGCACACTTGTTTTATGGATAGAAGCTATTTCAGACTTCCAGTGAGGTTGTGTTTAGAGACTGTTATTATAGATATTTATTAGATGAGATGAAATGAACCTCGCTATGGAAAATGAAACTGGAGTATTTGGTGGTCCAGCTATCCAGAAAGGTCTTTGACGTCATCCCTACATGCCATTCTTAAATGTGATGGATCTTCCCAGCAATTCTTGGATGATAGTGTACTCTCAGTATGCTAGTAGTTGAGTAAAACAAGCTCCACTTTATACTTTCTTGACAAGCTTTATGTTGAGATGTTCTGGTTTTAGGTTTGTTTTTTTTTTCTAAATCACAGATTTCCAAAATGTTGACTAACAGAAGTAGAATGATTAATCATAAATACAGATTTTATCTTTTCCCTATATGTAGGGCAATATAGCATTGTTTGAGGCATGCTGTAAGGAGAGGATACAGCAGTTTGATGATGGTGGCTCTGATGAAGAAGACATCTGGGAAGAAAAACATATTGCATTTACGCCAGAGTCCCAGAGGCGTTCCAGGTAGGAAATGTGTTTTTCATCCAAGTAGCACTATAGTGAGCCCTCATTACTGAGTGTGTCTTCTGGTTCAGGTTGACTATTGACACAGGCTGTCCAGCATAACTAGCCATTTCCATCTGGGGGGAGAAATTAGTAGAGAGATAGCAGCAGTATCTCTGTCAGCCTTACCTTGCAGAAGATGGTAATAGGTGTCCTGTTTACTCAGCTTTTCCTGCACCTCACGTTTTGTAGCTTGTTTCCTTTTGCTTGTTCTTCCCCTCATCTCTGTCAGCCTGTTAGCCATTCTTGCTCTGGGCAAGGCAGTCCAGCTCCACAACTACATCGACCTTGCTGTCCTCTTTATGGTAGTATTGGGGTCAGACTATCCAGCTCCATTGTTATGGTCACCCTTAATTGTACTGCGGCTGTGGACAAAGCTGTAGGTAGCTACATTGAAGGGAAGGAGCTGGTCCCCAAAACTCTTGGGGATGCACAGTCTTCCTTAATGTCTTCTGGATTTTGTCCCAGGATAGTCTTGGCTTCTCTGACCTTCCATAGTGGACTTGAGAATGTGTGTGGCTAATACCTTCTGTACACGATAAGTTATATTGTATGTTGGTTACGTTCTATTACTGCTTTCCTGTTAATGTTGGTTGTGCTTGCCAGGAAGGGAGACATACCCATACAGTTCAAAACCATTATGTAAGGCAACAGACTGGAAAATACTTGGATTGGTTGTTAGATTTCCAAATAAACCAAGTTATGTCATATTGGTCTTTTAAAGAGTTTTATATATTTCAGTGATTCCACTTAGTGTGCAGAGATGAATGGTCTGATTCCTTATCTTCCTTTTCCTGCCTTCCTTTCCTTTTGAATGGCAGGAGTTTTTACTTGCAAATGGAGGAAAAAAGCCCTCTTTACACGATCAAATGGAAAAACCTTAAACTTTGTTTTTTGTGGGAGAAATGAGGGGCATGCCAACAGCCAATAAATTATACCTCCGTTAATCTATCAGCAGTGATAGCTGTTGTAATTCTCTCTAGCTTCAAACTCTCCAGTATTTCATTGTGCCAAGCATCTAATCCTAAACATGGAATGTAAACTCTCTCTTTGTATTTTAAGTTCGGGCAGTACAGACAGTGAAGAAAGTACTGACTCTGAAGAAGAGGATGGAACAAAACAAGATTTGTTTGAATCGCATACCAATACTGAGGACAAAATGGAAGTAGACTTAAATGAACGTATGTAGCTTTTCTCCCAACTATTTGAGTTACAGGAAAGTGTTACATCTAGAACTGTTACTTTGTAAGAGTTTTCCTCTTTTATTTTTTATTCTAATGATCTTAGTCATCTTTCTCACTGTAAAGACTGCTTTAATAGAGCATGCAAATATTTGAAAATTTGAATTCCTTACAAGTCCTGAGTCAAATTACTCTAGTCTCTCGAAAATTCATGTGTATATTCTTCAAGAGGAAAAAATGAGGAATCAAAAAGGGAAGAATGAAACTGAATTTACACATCTTGAATGCCTGCAAAACTGATAGGTTATTAATCTCCAAACATAAAATATGATCCTTTCTATTACAAGTCTTTCAGACCAACGTTTCATCTAACAACGGTCTAAAAGGCATCCTACAGAAGTCAAGTTAACTTAGTTTGGTCTGGTTTCATATGTGAATAATCTTGTTTAATCTTGCATAAGTAAACTCTTATGTGGAAAACTAACTGTTACTGGCTTAAGAGTTTTCACATTCAAGGCACAGTAGACTAAATTGGCTTTACTTAAAATGGCAACATCTGTAGGTAAAAGCCCTGTGTTTATCTAGACTGTAAGGAATTAAAAATTAAAATAGAAGGAAACGTTAAGGGTTTTCTTTTCTTTTGTCAGATTGGTGTCGTTGGCATCTGTGTGTCAAACAAGTTTTGATCCATGTGGGTCTCCTCCCATATCTGCCTGGGTTGGAATTTCTAATTGCTAGTCAGAGCTTCCTTTTCAGCCTGTTTTTTTGTATGTAAGTGTTAATGAAGAAAATGTTTCCCTTGGGTAGGTGAAGTATTTTGAATTGACCTATCCTAAGTTAGATGCTTCTAAGTCCCAGTTGCTCCAAAACGTAATATCCCAATTAATATTTTAAAGTTGTAAAAGGTTTTAAGCTTTTCTGAAACTTAGCAGTGCTGCTAGTGCATGAGAAATTAGAGATTGCCCATGAAGTTGTCTTGCTCATTTTCTATGTTGAGGAAAATGTGCATAGGAAACTGAAAAAGGGATGAAAACTCTTAAGATTTTTTTAAGTATAGAAATTAGTGTTGAGAATAATGAATGTTCACATTAGGTTAAGGAATAAAGTGGAATAACACTTGTGATTAAATATAATTTGTGTTCTTCAGATAAGTGCCATTGATTTTTAGCTGAATACTGTGAGTTACTGTTTGTAAAATTCTGCCTTAATAGCAGAATTTCCCTTTTAGGGAATTCATTCAGTTTTTACCTATATAGAGAATTCTTTTGCATGTGCTTTGAAGTCTAGTTAAGAGTTTTGCTGCTCTTTTGGGAATGTGCCTATAGAGAATCAATGTGTTAGACATGTGTACATTCGTGTTCTTTAAATCTATTCCTAATGACCTTGCTGATCGCTTTTCTAGCACCAAATTGGTCAGCTAACTTCGATGTACCCATGGAGACTGCACATGGCACCAATCTGGATTCCGTTGGGTCTGATGTGTGGAGTACAGAAGAACCCATGCCAGCAAAAGAAACTGGCTGGGCTTCTTTTTCAGAGTTCACGTCCTCTTTGAGGTAAGAATATTAGTGATGCAGGGCAAGTGGGCAAGTTCTTCATTACTAAATGTACCAGCAGCTGCTGTTTGGCATCATTAAGATGTATGTCTCTACCCTGGGCTATGTTGGTTGGCTTTTGGTGGAATACAGGGTGCATAGTGTTCAAAGATTCCTGTGTGTTTAGGGTAGTATGGTGTAACCTGACTTTACAAAGATATAGGCTTTTATAGGATGAGTGGATCCCTGAAGTTTCCCTTGAATATTGGTCACTGACCAGAATTGCGCTATGACTTTTTTTAGTATAGGCTGAAGCCATGGAAGGGATGTAACTGTTGAATGTGAAGGCTGTAAAACATCTGTGATGGTTCTGTTTTGTCAATGGTATAATATAGATGATTGGTTCATCACTGGTGCAGTTCTACACTATTTTGGCATTACCTGACATACACTTTACTCTTTTGGATTAAACACTGCATTAAGAATAACTGAGGTCCTCTGTGTAGGAATCTAATAATCCCTATAGAGGTAAATTTTGAGCTGCCAAAATACTAGCAGTCAAGAACCGATTTCTTCTCCAATCAGAAAACCCTTTCTGTCTGTCTTGCTCCTCGCTTCTGTCTGGGCCTTAAACAGCTTTGACGTAAAACTTATGATTTTTTCCATCATAGAGCAGTGAATTGCTTCATGTCTGAGGCAGGTAAATTGATAACAGGACTATAGGGTTTAGAAAATGAAGTCCTGAAGTTGCCACAAGTAGTGGATAGAAAAGACACTATTCTGTAAGTGGTGGGAAGTATTTCAAGTGGTCAGAACTTGTCCTTTGAGTTAATCCAGAATGGAAAAACTCATAGCTACACTGTATGTGCCATTAAGCAAACAAATTAGAGTAAAATACTTCTGTTGTTGACATTTAAGGACTGTGTTGGCAGTGTCAGCAGAGAACTCTTTTAGATCATCCAGGTTGCAAAGAGTGTGTTTAAGAAGCGGTTTAAAATGTTGGAAATACTGCAAGGATCCAGCAGTCTTATTTATCTGTGGCATCTCCATTTCAAATAAAAATAACAGTACTGCCAAACATAACCTCAGTCAGCTCAGTTTGGGTGGATTTTGCATTAATGAACTTGTTTAGTGTGCCTTAGCCTTGCTTAGTTTCATTCTGCTGTTCAGTTATGTTTATAAAGCTTTTTAATTTGTATTTGAAGCTCAAAAGATTCCTTAAGAAGCAATTCTCCTGTGGAAATGGAAACAAATGCAGAGCCAATGGATCCCTTGAGTGCAAATGCAACTGGTCTTGCAACACAGCTAGAGAGTAAGTACTGTACATTCAGAAATGCAAGCAGATTGATTTTGATATTTTTAACTAAGAAAGATCTCCCTGAACTTAGGTATCTCTCATCTGGCTCTGCTGCTCTGCCAGGCAATGAAAATAACTTGACAAAAGTTCTGAACTACTTTTTTTCCTATTTAAAACAAGAACCAGTGTTACTTTTGTCTCAAAAAAAAAAAAAGTGTGCATATCATGAACAATGAAGCTAAATGTTTTCTGTTAGAGAAGTTTTATATGTGGCAACACTTAACTGAGCTGATGCCCAAGAAAAGTGGTAGCTTCTAGTCTCTTCCTATGTGGCAATAGACCAGTAGCCTTGGTGTTCAGATTTCTCCTTGCTCATTGCTTTCCAAGCTGTCTTCTCTGTATATATGCATACACTTCTATTTATGTGAATTAATCGAAGATTAAACCCATGCTAATTAGTTTTCCATGTATTTTATTAGCAGATAGAACAAGAAGTGCAGATGGGAAGTCCGGGAAGATTGGGCTTCCCAAAGGCTTGTCTGTACTTCAGAATTTGTTGGCAAATTTGTACAGTATGGACTGGTGCAATGAATCTGACTGTATGAAAAAATGTATAAAAATCCTACTACAGGCTTGTTCAAGCAAACCTGTTGCAGTAATCATTGTCGATGTAAATCACTAACTGGCTTGCAAAACGAAAGCTGTAATTATGGAATATGACTTCTTCCTTATGCAATCTGTAAAAAAAAAAAAAAGCGTTTATGCTCTACATATGTGTATAATGGGGATTGTAGAAAGATGATTCTTAAGGGTTCAAGAAATGCTTAAAACTGGGGAAAAACATCCTTTTTTGTTTTGGCTTGTGTGTGTGCTCATGAAATAGAAATGTAACCAGTCATATACTAAAGTACTTAGTTCTATTCTAGCCCCAGGAAGTGTTGCTATGGAGGCCAGCTCAGATGGAGAGGATGATGTAGAAAACACAGACAAGGTAACTGAAACAGTAATGAACGGCAGCATGAAGGAGACACTGAGCCTTACTGTAGATGCTAAAACTGAAACGGCTGTTTTCAAAAGGTGAGGATGTACTTCTTTTTGTCTTTCCACCCATTTTACAAGTGCTGTTGATAGAACACTCATCAAAAAGAGTTAAAGTGATAATTCATAGGGCCTTAACTCTAAACATTTTTTCAAATGTAATTGTTTTGAAACTTTACTTTCAATCAGTTATTAGAACATAGGATCAAGCTTTAATTTTCACTGGAAGATTATTAGTGGAAGACTGGCTCTATTTTTGATCCTGATGAATGTTACTGCACAATTTTAATGTACATTTTAATGTACTTCTAAGCTACAGCCTTTTAAACTTCACATGGAACTTCTGGATTGGAATTCAGTGTCTTATGCAGGTGGTTGGAGGAGAGAGACTGGAGGCCAGCCAGGCACTGCTCTTGAGAGTAACTCATTGGGAATTAAAAACTTCAGGTTTGTTTATTTTTAGTATGGAGGAAGGAGCATTTTTGACTGCACAACACTTATGAAATCAAATGGCAGTTAGAGAAATTAAACCAAAGCATTTAGAGGAGGAATGTGACTCTGGAGTTATATAGCATGAAACCTTAGTCACTTTCTGACTTAGTAAATGATATATCTACTCTCCAGTTTATTCTGTATGTTTTTTGGAGAATGCTTTTTATGGTCTACACTTCTGTTGTTCCAGTGTAGTGGATCAGTTATTCGTGGTGCTTTTACACATAAGCTGCTTTAATTCTGTGACTTCTGGTATTAATGCAAAAAAGCAAAGTTAACGTAAGGTGGAAGCATATCATGGCAGTCACTGCCTCTTATCATAGAATTACCTTCCTTTGGTATGGAATAAGGACTTGTATCTTTGTAGTTAAAAGGACACAGAGGTGGTAAAGGAGGGAAAATGAATCTATGATCTTGATTTGGGACGGGAAGGGGAAGTTAAGTGTAAAAGGTGGTTGAATGAGTGAGGTCTTAAATGTGGAGATTGTTTAGTTCTGATACAGAGGTGTCATCTCATACTGATCCAGATATCATATGGCTTTCCTTAAATTAACTTTTAAATAGGCCTAGACAGCAAATAATTTAGTATTTCTTTGGGGGGGCAGAGGAAGGGGATCTAAAACACTACATAAATCTAAATTAAGAAAGGATTTCAATAGTGAGTGGAGGCCACACTGTCCTGCATACCTGGCAAGGTGGATACAGAACTTAGGTCTGGGAGTACAAATTTCTTCTAGTAGAAAATACATAGTTGTGATGTCAGTGTTGAGGAGAAGGGAACCATTGTAAAGACAGTAGTTGACTTGTTGAAAGCTGCAAAGGGCAAATGGTTCTTGAATTTTCTCACTCTCCCTGTTGAACTAGTAGGAGACAATGTGAGCAGAGACAACCCCTTAAAAAAAAAAAAGAGGTTCTGGTGGTAGTAACAAGTATTTTTGAACAAATACAGACTTTAAAGGTAAAAGATAAGCAGATAAAGATAAAGCAGATGGGAAACCTGTTGCTTGGTGAGCTGTATTTTTACAGTCTATGCAGGTATAAGGAGACATGGGGGGAAGGAACAAGGATTCATTGAAAGAGAAAGGATCCATTGAAAGGAAAACTGTAAGAATAGGAATCAGTAGAGGATAGTGTCTTTAAAAATGTTCCCGACTTCTTCAGTAGATTCACTGCTACAGATGAAGATGGATGTTTGTGTCTACTGTAGCTACCTTATATCCGTCTCTTGCAGTTGTACGGTCAACTTTTTATGTTAATGTGCTAATAACAGTGTGGATGAGACAGAAAAAGGTGGGATAGTGATGCATAAAAACTCTGGTTTAGTGGCAAAACATGAATATTTGTTTCCTAGTGCTAGAGTACTGTTTTTTTCACTGAATTATGTTCATTTTCATGTCTGAGAAGAGGCTGATGAAATAGAGCAGTGATCCTATGTGGCATAACACATACCATTGTACTTCACTGTATAGTCATTAGGTAGTTCATTAATACAGACAGTGATGAGTTAGTGATTCTGCTGACTTGTTTCATGGGCAAACTTTATCAATGCCAGTTTCTAAGGGAATCTTGAATTTTTTTATACTTTCTTCCTTCTATTTTTGCATACTACTGGCTTCAGAGTGTTGAAATCCTATCGGTATGTATAGTAAAGGATTGTAACTGTGATTGCTACCACTTCAGGCTTCACGCACATTCCTTATTTCCTTTCTAATCATATTTGTAATCATTGTATTTCCTGCCTTTTTATCCAGTCAATTTCCAATGGTTTTAAACACCAGTGCATTATTAGGTGTTTGTGAAGTCCAGAATCATGTTTGATTTTCATGTTTCAGTCATAATTTAAAATCCATTTGCATGTGAAATACGAACCCTTCTCCCAATTTTCTACTGTTGCCTGAAATTTTCTGTAAGTAAACTTAAAAATTAAATATCTTGTTTCCTTTTACTTAGTGAGGAAGGAAAATTGTCTACCTCGCAGGATGCTTCATGTAAATATGTGGTAGAGGAGAATGCAGAGGTTGTGGAAGAAGCTACTTCAGCTTTGCAGCCCACTAACAGCAGTCCAGAACAGAGGTAACTGCACTCAGAGATATTTTCAATCACATAAGTAGCAGCTTGTATATTTCTATAATAGGACTGATCTAAAGAGACCACTGAATTCCTGTTAGTTATCAGCTCTGAGTTTACTTCAATCTAAACATGTGCTTGCATCTGTTTGTAAGATTCTTACAAGCTATGCTGTCTGTCCTTACTCTGACTCTTGAGTTGAAACCTATTTGCCTTTCAGGGTATTGTAAATATTCCCTTTCTGTTTTGCGATATGTATCGATTCATTGTACTAATTTGATACAAAAACTGTGGGAAAAAAGGGGGGGATTAAGTTTGTCCTGAAAATGTACAAAAGTACGCTTCAAAATTAGAAAATTGTTCCATTTTTGATTCTGTATTTTATACTGCAGGACAGCTGGGGGCAGTCTATCAGTGCAGCTACGTGGAAAGGAAATGCTGCCTTAAGTCATGCTTGTTTGGTTGTGAGCTAGTCAAATAATTGCTTCTATTTTTGAATCAATTTGTTTGCACCCGTGTCTTTATCAGGCATTAATCTGAATACTTGTAGATTTGGAGATAACTTTTCAAAGTATGTAAATAATTTGTTTCAAATAAAGTTCTCTGGAAATACAGAGCAGCCTGGATTGCTCAGCATATGTACTGGAGGAAAGAAGTGATGACATTTTTCTTGACTAATAGTGCATGCAGTCTCACAGAATAGTCATTCAAGAGACAATTCTGAGGTGACAACTGTCACAGAAAGTTCTTGCATAAACTTTTGTATTAGATCATCAGGTAGGACTGCTTTCTCCACAAAAGGCATCTGAAGATGTTTCTCCTGTTCCTTTTCCTGTTGAAGTACTCGTTCTGGTGTGGTTTTTCGCCTTACAAGTTACAGTGGTATGAAACATAATCAACTCAAATATTAGTATGGTTTTATCAAAATCAAATTTACATAGAGTGAGATCAATTACCAAATACTAGAAATACCTAATGCAAATGTTTCATGTCTGGCTTAAGTTGGGACGGGATTCCACTTGGTCTTAAAAGCTGAATGAGTTGAGGAGCATAAAGCAGGTGAGAAGAATTCCACCCCTAAACGCATTCAGTGAAAACCCTGCTCTGGAACTTAACATCAGAGCAGTATCTGGTAAGAGGTACCTTCCAACTCCGGCTGTTTGGAGGCAAGGATGGTTTTGCACTGTTCTAGCCTCGTTCCTCGCACTCACCAGCACAAATGGTGAGATTTGACCTGCTGAAGGCAGAAGTGTTGTCATTCAGCCAGTCCACACCATCTACACAGCTCAGCAAAAGGTGGGGAGAGCCTCGTTTCCTATTTCTTAGTTTCACATAGACTCACGTAGTACTTTGCAACTAATCTCTAAGCAAGAGTTCACTGGCTTCCTATGAGAGCTAATGGCTTGTTGCACTTCAAGGTGTCAGAATGCCACAAGCTAGAATATTGGTATTGAGAACAAGGGTTGGTATGCTGACACTTATTAGTTTAGGGGTGCCCAGAGCATTATTCTGAGAGGAGGGAGGATTTTGCTTAATTAAAAGCAATTCCAGGGGCTACTTTTCCTTGCATTATAAACAGAGAAATGGTTCTGAATCTATAAATACATGAACGTGTATTTTGATAGTTATAATAGTTCAAAAGCAGTTTTTTCTTGTATAGGTTTTGAATTGTTATTAGAGAAACATATTTCTCACAAATCTTGTGGACTTAATTATTTTTAAGTCTGCACGTGCTATGTTATACTCTTAGTTTTCTAGTCAAGAAAAAATTGAAAGGTTTTGTAAGCAAAGATTTAAAATATAGCTCTACATATAATACAACAAAGCTCTACTACATATTTTGACTATACTTTTTGCAAACTAAGAAAGGTGCAAGCCTATTTGATCAAGTTTAGATACTGTCTTTTTGGGACATGTTTATGAGCTAATATGTTTTACCTCTAGTACTAGATGTTACGCTAGAACACTGCTACCTCTTTCTGTAAGCCAGAACTTTCTACTCTGCATATATTCAATGAACTTTAATCAATAAATGAATTCTAACTGGAAAAACCTGTATACTTAGTCAAAATGGGAAACCTGGAAACTCAAGTCTTTCGTAGTCAGCATGTGAATACTAGGTGACTGCCTTCTGAGTAAAGATGCTTCTCTAAACCAACAGAGGGCTCTCAGAGCTAGCAGTTCCTTGGATTGCTTTTGATTACAGGAAATCTCAAGGAACTCCTTTCCTACAATCTGGCTGGATGCAGTGAAGCTCAGTACTTTCTCTAAAGGTGGCTGTCACAGTAGATCCTCGTATAAGTGCAGAACAAGTGTCTAGATAAATTTAATTGTGCTTTTGGGGCTCCATGCATTTATGACTAGTGGGAGGAGTCACCTAGGTAGGTCTTTGGCTGGTGGCCAGCAATATCAATGTCTGCTAGAAGCCCTGTTATGTCATGGATTTTTTCCAATCAGTAAATAATTTACTGCTCTTTGAACTGTCAGAATTCCTGTCCATGCAGCACTTGTTTGTTACCTTCCAGGTTTATCTAAAGTGTTTAACTTTGTCTAGTGCTGTCTCTCTCTTTATCTAATGTGTACATATTTTTTTTTAAAAAGTGTTTTTAGTGCTTAACAGCCAAAGACTTAGCTAGGGGGACTCCTGCTGGTCATGTGCATGTAGAGCACGGACCCAAGAGTGGCTTCTCTGTGATGTACACCATCAGAGAACAGGAGTTACAGGTAACTTTTCTTGTGTAGTTCCAAATGGTATTTATATTCTCTAAAGGAATCTTCAAATGTATTCAACAGACTTGCACTTAATGGAAGTTGAGAGTTTTTTGCTTTTGTTGTTTGCAACTCTTAATGTTCTTGTGCACTGATTTGATCTCTTCCTTTGTGTTAATCCAGAGTAATTGAACCCACATGTTTACACTAACTTCTTACCTAGAACTGTATATACTATTACAATTTTTACTTTTTCAGGTTTGCTCTTTATCTTCCCCATACTTTCTGAACCTCTCGTGCTAATGGACTGAAACTCAGAGTATTTGTGAAACATCAGTTTATAGATTACATTAGTCACTAAAGCAGTTATTAAAAAAACCTCTTGTTTTTACCTATTATGTCTTTTCTTGTTTTCAAATGCAAGCTTAAGTACTCCTGATGTCATTTTTTGTCTCACAGAGTAAGATGTGGAGAAGTCTCAGAGTGTGCTTTTTATCAGTGATTGATTCTCTCAAAGAGAGAACAGCATCTGTAGAGATTGTTTTTTAGCTCAATAAAGATCAATCACATTTCACTGGTGTGCTGAGTTAACTAAGTACTGTGCCTAATTAGACAATAAGGATTCCAGATGTGTTGGACTCCAGAAAATGAATGGGATGAGCACGTAACTAGCTTGTGTTCCGTTCCCTCTTTTGAACTCTCTGGAATTCCACTCCAAAGAGTTTTATTATATTTACAAGAAAACATTATTTTCTTGGCATCACTTTGAGATGAACGTTAGAACCTTGTAATCTGAACTGTAGAAATCAGTAGGTATTTTGGAAGAAATAGTGCAGCTTTCACTAGTGACCAGCTGTGTCTGAAGAGAATGATGTCTCACATTGGAAGGGACCCACACAGATTGTCTAGTCCAACTCCTATCTCTGCACAGGACCACCTAAAAATTAAACCATACGAGTGTTGTCCAAATGTCTCTTGAACTCCAGCAGGCCATGGTGCAGTGACCGCTTCTCTGAGGAGCCTGTTCAAGTGCCTGACCACCCTCTGTGAAGAACATTTTCCTCATATCCAGCCTCACCCTCCCCTGCCCCAGCTCCATGCCATTCGCTCAGTCCTGTCACAGTCCCCAGAGAGCAGAGCTCAGCGCCTGTCCCTTTGCTCTCCCTCATGAGGAAGCTGCAGGCCACCCCTCAGTGTCTTCTTCCCTAGGCTGAACAAAACCAGTGACCTCAGTTGCTCCTCATATGACTTCCCTCTAGATTTTCACCATCTTTGCCTTCCTTTGGACACACTAATAGTTTTATATCCTTACGTTATAGCACCCAAAACTGCACGCGGTACTAGAGGTGAGGCAGGGAGCACAGTGGGACAATCACTTCCCTCAACTGGTTAGCAATGCTGTGCTTAATGCACCCCAGATAGAGCCGGCCCTTTTGTTTGACAGGGCACACTGTTGACTCATACTCAACTTGCTGTCACCCAGAACTCCCACATGCCTTTCTGTTGCACTGCTCTTCAGCCTCTTGTTCCCCTGTGCAGTCTGTACATACATCCAAGATTGCCCTGTCCCAGATGCAGAATCCAGTGCTTGCTCTTGCTAAACTTCATGTGGTTGGTAATTTCCCAGCCCTCTAGTCTGTCAAGATCTCTCCACAAGGCCTCTACTCTTGAGAGAGTCAACAGCTCCTCCTAGTTTAGTTAATTTAGTGTTGGCTGCAATCTGGGTATGTGGGAGGGGAGAACATACTTTGGATGCTTCCTGTTTCTTGTATGCTGACATCCTCTTTTGGCCTCTTAGGACTGATCAACGTACCCTTTTAGGAGAGACGTCTGTTAATGGCCCTGTATGATACGTGATGTCTACTGCCTTGGCTGAAGAAATGAACTGATACCCAGGTGTTTGAGCATTTCTTGAGGATTTCATCTAGAGCCTGTTGAAGCCAGTCACTGCTGCACTAATTTCGCAAGGGATCAGGACCAGCAACATTTATATTCTAGATTTTAAGACATTGTACAGAAATTCATAAGTGTAAAAATATTGCACATTGAGAAATACCAATAATTTTTGCGTATGTTTATATTGTATTGTTCTAAATAATGGGTGGCCTGTGAAATAAGATCCTGCTACCCATGTAATGATGACAGTAGTGTTACTATAGTTAAAAATGGCTGTAAGAATAGTTTTATAAAAAAAAAAAGTGAATACACAAATCTAATGTATTTGAGACATAACTATTTGACGATTAGTGTGACCAAAGTATTTAGCAGTTTTTCATACATTTTTCACCTTGTAAAAAGAAAAAGGAAAAAAAACAAAACCAAAAAAAAAAATAAAACAATTCATGTTTCTTCCAGGTTGGCGAAGAATTGTAGAACTGAAATGCCCTATAAATGTTATTTTGGTTGTTTTAGCTTACGAAAGTGATTTAAATGAGAATTTTTGGTGTTCAACATTTTACAACAGGTTTTTTAATTGGTAATTGTTTTCTGTATTGTTTAAAACAGATCAAAAATGTAAGTCTATTGGTAGAGATTTTAAGTATTTATTGCTACAACTTAGTTGACAAATTGATGTTACTGTAAAGCCATATGTTCTGTTAAGTCTTGTTTGCTTGAAACAATACCTTACAGGTGAAACACTAGAATATTTGAAGTGCACATGGCTTGTTGTGTTTAAGTGGTTCACCTGCCTTTTAACCCATTCACCAAGATTTACTTTAATACCAAGCATTATACAATGGAACATTTCAGAACAATCTGCGTATTTAAAACGCTATAATCCTCTTAGACAAGTCAAGTAAATGAAATGCCCGTGCTGCTAATGTAATTACAGTACATGCATTTTAAAAGTATATAGTGTTCTTTTAATACAAATTTTGGCAGCAGAGCATGTTAATTGTTACTTTCACTGTACTGATCTGTGTGAGGCTTTCATTTGTATGTTCTAAACCAGTTTTTTTCACAGCTGGTTTGTGTATATATATATAGTGATTATGGAAACTAATTCTGTGTAATTTATAATTTTCTATGTCATTGTACAATTCCAACAGCCTTCTCAAACAAACAGAAGCAATATACTGTATATTGCCACATTGTCTGGTGAAAGGGTTAAAGTATTTCACCTGCACTTTTAGATGCAAATCCATTTTTATTTCCTTAATAGTTATATTCATTTATTTTTACATCATTTGTTTTCCTGACCAGTATTTAAAGCCAAAAGGATACTCTAAACAATGGCCAATGATTTATTTTAGAAAGCGTCCCAAGCAACGTGCCTAAACATTACATTGCATACAGAAATAATAAATAATTAAAAAAAGTATAATGGCATTGCCCTTACTGCTTTCTGTCTTGCATTTTCTCAGCCAGTTTCAGTGGCATTTGTCCTTGCATATTGTTTCAAACCGATTAGTTCTCTGTAAAAGGAGGAAAAAACACTATCTGAAGTGGAATCGGAAATATTGCCTCTTTATTTATACCTTATATATGATGGAATCAGTTTAAGTTGTTCCTTATGTTCAGATTGCTTCTAGATCACCTGTTCTCCCTTCTCATTCTGGATCTGAGTGGTTGTGAGTGCTTTCCTGTGATGTATTCTTTGCATCTCAAAACATGAATTCTGAAGACTTTAATTTAGATCATGATTGTTTACTTTGTATGTGACATACAGTCATCCACAATAAGAAACAAATCTTGCTTAGCCATTGAGTAGATTTTGTCTTGTTTCATGAGATTCAATTTACTCATTTATTCAGGCTTGTGTGATTGTCTCAGTATTTTACCCAGTGCCAGCAAGTTTAAAAAAAAAAAACAAACAAAAAGCTGCACACTTCCCTTTAGCTTTTCAAGCCATGGTTGTAAACTGCCTTAACACTCTGCATGAGAAAGGTCGGGTCTCTGATGTGGTGGAGCAAACTTCCAGCTCATCAAAGGAGTGTTCTGGTGCAGGTTTAATGCAGCCCAAAGGAAGTAAGCTCACATGAGTTGCTACCTACTGTTAATTAGGAGCTTCCTTGCTCTGTGCTGGAGGAACAAGTTGCCCTTGAATTTATATTAAGTCCAGAGAACAGTGGTTGCAAACTATTCATGCATAAACATATGTGCATGTTCTGCCTCTACCCCTCCTCCTCGTATCAGAGCTGAGCAGGTTACTCAGAAAAGTCTTTGCAGATAACTCAGCATTGAAGGAAACCTTCATATGGTAAGGCCCACCTAGTGGGAATCTCCAAGTACAATACAGAAGCTTTGACCGTAAAATTTAGGTGAAAGTTAATGGTCACATTTGCATATGAGGGTGCTGGGTGCTCTCATTTGAGCTATGCTCTACATCTTTTTTCTGTGGCATGAGAAAGTATGGACTATAAACTGCCTTTTCTAAGTGACTAGGTTACCAGTTCTTTCATCAAAAGGAGAAGCAGCTACTTCCAAAATATGCTCTTGTGCCAAGCCTGTGGAGAAGAATGAGGAAAGTAGTGTCGGGGTAGTGTGACAAGGTCATACGGAATTTAGATCTCCCAGTGACACCAGAACATTTACTAGGAGCTAGAAATTATTTCCATTCACAAATGTGCAGTGTAACCAAAAGGTTAGAGAAAGATAACAGGAAAAAGGAAGGTCCCTCTCTATTGCAATTCCCAAATACTGGCTTGAAGGAAGTAAGCAGAGAAGTGTACAAAGTTAGCAAGTTTTGAGGGAGGGGAAGTGGGCTTGTAATTCTTAGGATCAGGCGATCTCTTCTCTTTTTGGTCATTGCAACATTTAATTGAACTAGAGAGAAAATATTAAATCTTTCTGCGTGGCTAACTGGCTGCAAGAGTGCTGCAAACAAGAACCTGAGGATGGCCCTGCACTCCTGAGAGAATACATTTTTTAAAATAGGCAATGGCCTTAATAGCTGTGTCTTGTTATTTATGGGGGAAAAAGATGAAATTAGGGCATTACTAGAGTTGCATTAGAAGAAGAAAGCATACAGTAATTGAATCCTCTAAGTTGCTAACATGAATACAGAACTGTATGCTGTGGGATGAGTACTTTGTACTGAGATTTGACCCTCTGGAATGTAAAAATTCAGAAACTCAAATATTTTTGTTGCTAGACAAAACAAACAAAAAAACAATTTAGTTTTCTATTTGCATATACTATCTTAAGAAACTAATGTTTCTCTCTAGACTTTTTACAAAGACTGCGCATTTAGTCTTTGTTTAAACTTGAAGGATGCAGGCTCTGATGATGTGGCATGTTTGAGACCAAAAATAGTTAATTTTTAGGATTGTTTTGGAGACTGTCATAACATGCAACTATATATTGTCAAGGTATACCAGAGGTCTTAGCTGTAGGACTTCATCTCGTTTCTGTACCGTTTACTCCAGTTTTCATCGGAACTAGTATTTCTCTGCTTGAGTGCTGTGACCTTTCACAATCTTCACTCTTTTTAGAAAGGAACTTTTTTGATCAAAGTAGTCTGAGGAATTTCACTTCAGTCTTGGTGTAGTCTAAGGTACTTTCTCATGGAAGTGCGACATTCCTCCTACAGTTCTGTTTTGCGTGGATCAACAACAACAACAACAACAACAACAACAATAATAATAATAATAAAACCCTCATCCTCTTCTGTTGGAGGGGTTGACTGTTAAGTGTAATGGGACAAGAAGTATTTTTGTTAACCAATGTAGTGCACTAATGTGTTCTACTAACTGGAGAATGTTTAGAAGCTCAAAAATAAACATAGGCTTTTCTATTGGCTACAAATTTTCTGTTCAAGAGATATAAAGGGAATAATGTTTACTACTCAGCTGACAGCCTTACTAGGTCGTAAGCTTACTGAATATATGAGCAAGGGCTGCTCATTACCTTCTTGCTGTAAGCAGCTTCATTAGTGGCTGCAGATGAAACTGATAAAACACTGCAGTAAATAGTTGGTAGAGTACCTGAAACAAACTTCTTCCTGCAAGACGTAAAGGATGGGGGCAGCACTGTCTGTCTGTGTCAATACTGCCTAAATACGGCTCAGTGTAAAAGAGACTTGTGTCCCGTTTGTCTAAGGGCTTTGTCAGGATAATTGCTTGCTGAACTTAAGAAAAGAGAACAGTGCTAGAGATACGATTTTTTCTACACTCAAAAGGAGAAAATTACAGCCAGAGAGACAGATATATGATTCCAGCTTTTAATTATTTTTATAGTAAAAGTAGCTCTGGCTTTCAGTGCATTGAGAATCCTGGCAATGTTGTATTTGGCATGCTCTTTTGCTGGATGTCTCATAAAAGATTGCACAAAACTAAGATTCAGGACACTGCACGAAGATACAGTGATGTGTTGTAAGAATTACAAAAATGACATGTTCAGGATGCTGCAGGCTTTTATGAAGTAAATGTTCCTTTCTCATACAAGTTAGAACCTAAATAAAGGTGAAGGGTGATAAGTAAGTAAAAGCATTCATGTCTAAAGCTTGAAGAGACCTCTTCTGTGAATCTGTACACCAGAAGATGTGGAATTTCACTTCATTCCTACTGCTTTATGAGCCCAGTAATTTGCCTCTGATTGTATATAAAGAACATTAACTATATTAATTGTTTGCTTTAAATAGTTCTAGAAAACATACATTACTAATAGCAACTACAAAAAAAAGAAAAAAAGAAAAAAAAGAAAAAAAAACATTAAAAAAACATTTTAGTAATCTAGTTTGTAATTGATAATAGATCTAAAATTCTGATGTGGCATATCTTTTATCTATTAGGGAGTTAGATGTAACTGAAATAATAAAAGCCATTTTTATACATATCTAAAGACCCCCCTCCCCTGACAAGCAGGGTGACCCAGAGCACATTGCACAGGATCACATCCAAGATGGTTTTGAATACATCCAGAGAAGGAAACTCCACAGCCTCTGTGGGCAACCTGTTCCAGTGCTCTGTCACCCTCACAGTAACAAAGTGTTTTCTCGTATCTAGCTGGAACTTTCCATGGTTCAGTTTGCACCCATTGCCTCTTGTCCTGTTGAGGGGCTCCACTGAAAAGCGTCTTGGCCTCATCCTCTTGACACCCTCCCTTCAGATAGTTAAACACATTGGTAAGATCTCTCGGTCTTCTCCAAGCTGAACAGGCCCACCAGCTCTCTCAGCCTTTCTTCACAGGAGAGCTGCTCCAGTCCCTTAATCATTTAATAGCGCCTTCACTGGATTCACTCCCATAGCTCCATGTCCCTTTTGTGCTGGGGAACCCAGACCTGGATGCAATGCTCCAGGTGTAGCCTTGGCAGGGCTGAGTAGAGGGGGAGGATCATCTCCCTCAACCTGCTGGCAGCACTGTTCTGCCATCCAGCCAGCTATCAATCCCTCCGCGGTGGTTTTACTCAGCTCGGCAGGTGAGCTCCACCACAACCTTCTCTCCCTCCCCCTTCTCAAAGGGAAAGGGAGAGAAAATAAATGAAAAGGGCTCAAGGGTTGTGATAAGGACAGGGAGACCACTCAGCAGTTATTGTCATGGGCAATAGACTCAACATAAGCAGATAAATATTGTTTATTGCCTCTCACTAATAAGCTAGAGCAGTGAGAAACTCAAAACAAATGAAAAACACGCCAGATGGAGGTGAGGCTGCCTGGCCTGTAGTTTCCTGGGTCCTCCTTCTTGCCCTTTTTGAAGACCGGAGTGACACCAACTTTATTCCCATCCTCACGCACCTCTCCTGTTCTCTGTAACCTCACAAAGATTATGGAGAGCAGTAACATCTGCCAGCTCCCTCAGCCCTCATGGGTACATCCCATCAAGGCCCATGGATTTGTGGGTGTTGATTTTGCCTCAACGATCTCTAACCTGATCCTCCTTGACCAAGGGAAAGTCCTCCTTTCCCAGACTTCCTCTAGTGTCTAAGCTTCCTGGGGGATGATCTTAGCAGTGAAGACAGATCAAATACAGCTTTCAGTAAGTCTGCCTTCTCTGTACCCTTCATCCCGCCCCATTCAGCATCGGGCCCGCGTTTTCCCTGGTCTCCCTTTTGCTACTGAGGTATTTGAAGAAGCCCTATTGTCCTTGACATCACATGCCAGATTTAATACCAAGTTGGCCTTTATCTCATCCCTGCATATTCCGACAACGTCCATAAGTCTAAGTTTCTTGTTTACTAGTCAGAAAATAAATAAATAAATAAATAAATAAATAAATTTGAAGTGATCTCTGACTTTGGACAGCAGTTACCTAAATAGCAGTATGTTCCATTTCTTTCTTAGGCAGCTCAACAGGCAGCTCTGTTAAGCGACAGACAAAAAATACAAACTGAGTAAGGTAACATAACAAAGCAGAGACAAGAAAAATGCTAAGGAATTTAGTAATTATCCTGTGACTTAGTAAATATCCTAAGTTGAACCATATAAACGAAGTGCTTCAGATGAATGCACGTTCCAATTTCAGAAACACGCCTCTAAGAGTATGCTCCATTTCAGTTATCAGAACTAACTTTCAAGGGTGAAACCACATTTTTAATGCTGTCTCATGGACTTTTGAGGTATATTTAACATTAATTTCCCATTGTTTGCCAAAAAATAAAATGTATCTACATTTTCTGATTTTATTCCTTACTACAATCTATGCTGGCTTGTTGTTGTCTTTGTCTCTTTAAAAGAATCTCCAGAGCAGGCCTTAGGTTTGTAGTTTTCCATTCCCCTAGTACAAACTGGTGTTTATCATCTTGTACTTCATCTGTAAACA